CTTTGATCATAAAAATGATGAGTGTTTAATATCAACATATTAATAAAATGATCCCCTTCCGAAAGTTGTTTCAGTTACGGTTTGGTCAATGAATATTTTTAAAATGTGAAGAAAACGAATCTTTTTTTATAATAAATAAGTAACTACCTATAGTACCTATGTGTTCAGTGTTGATACTATATTGTCTTCTAAAATTTCATAAAAATCTTAATTCTAATTTTGCAATTATTTATAACCTAGTTATTAGCTTAAATCTTAAAATTCTTTATAAGTAGGTATATAGTTTAAAGAACAAATGATTTGTAGGTAATACTGTGGATACAAATATGTAAGAGTGCAACATACCTCATCTACCTATATAATTATTAATTTTAACGACGTGTGTCTTATTTCTATAACGCAAATTGTATCGCTCTAATTATCAAAATTAAAAAGGTATACCTATTCAAGTTTATGTGTTTTGTGAACCTATTTAATGCGTATCCATAAATTAAATTATATTTTTTAATGGTTTAGGTTTAGGACATGGATGAAGCATTTCATACGATTGCATTTCCGAGTCCTCATCTAACGACTAACACCCGCCAGTTTGACACCGATGCACCTACATACGCTTTAATATCAGGGAAGCGATGTTATGTCAATGAAGGAATCGGAAGCCACTCGTACAACATATTTTGGTAGCCTATACATTGCAGACGTGAAGATCTATAGGGCACACTAGATCTTTAATTGCGTCACTATACCTAAATCTGTGATCGAAGATCCTTATTCAGGTCCACTTGGCATTGAAGTTGTCCGCTACGATCACCGCACCATCAGCATCGAGGCATCGAGCAATCAATATTATTCTTGACTGCCGAGGAACGCATTGTACCTATTTAGTCATGGTGACATTGGGCCATTGGACGAACAATAGACCATGAGCGTGCGCAGGATTTTGCGTCTTGTGCAGTACACATTTTTAACTGACCCGACAGAACAATAAGTAAGTAGCTATAAGTTATTTCCCTCATTATGGCATAGTAGTGTAGTACTTGCACGAGTAAAACTAGGTGGTGAATGGTTTGCAAGGTAAAAATGATGAAGTCGTAAATCATTGGATTATATAATGAGATTAAAATGTCGTTTAGTATAATTAACCATGAACTAAGAATCTTAGTTCATGGTATTAACATATGTACCTATCTATGGGTACTTACTACATACTACATACAAATGGGTTATGAGTATTTAATGTATGTACTATATTATGTACATTGTAATGTCTCAATGTCTATAGCCTGTAGGTATGTGTAGTGTGCTGCACATACATCGAACACGTGTGGATATGCCTATCAGTATAAAACCCAGACTTATATTAGGGTCACAATAATACATTTTACTCTGTAATTTCTGAAATTAGAGAGAATTTACCTCTGAAAAATTCAAAGGCAAGAATATTATCTAGGGCAACTTGGAAGATTTTATTAATATTATTATTTTTAAGTAACTAATGACCATTTTTAAACTGTACATTTAAATTTGGCGTGTTGTACTTCAGATTTTGTAAGATGGAGACAACAAATGTCCGTTGGTGGTCCTTTTAATAAATACATCATTTATCATTTTTCATCAACATTTCGTGTCCGGACCAACGTCCAACATCCAAATTTTTATTTTGTTTTGAATTGAACATTTTTAAAATTATTCATATCAAGTTCCTAAAGCCGTTTTAAATAAATATTATCAGCAGGTGTAGCGAAAGCACCATTCGCTGCATCTGTGAGTACGAGGTATCTACCATCTACGTCTATCTAATGACGTTTGTCATTTTTTAGAATCCGCCGGAAGACGGGGTTTACATCAACAGCGCCTATAGTCGGATTGTCGTTGGACACAAATACGGCAGTTCTGCCTACAGTATCGCTGCACCATTCCACATCTTAGCTTACGTTACGGTAGGACGTAGGTACTGACTATAGCATGGGCAAGTTAATGATAATTGTTAACTGATTTAAATTATGTATATTTATGTATTTACATAAATAGCCAATATGATTTAAGATAATATAAATCATGAATATTATTGAGCACAGGAAATAGATTTACAATACGTGTAAGGTATAACAACTACATTTTGAAAATAAAGGTACAGATGAAAAGAAATATGTAGTAGGCACCAAAAGCATACAAAATAAATATAACCTTTTAATTTATTAATATAGGTTTATTTTTAAATTATTAAATAAAAACAACATGGCATTTAAGTCATGCCGTATAAATAGTAAAACAGTAAACACTAATAGCTATTACTTGACACATAGCGATATAAAATAAAATTATAAATTGGCGACTTATGTTAAACAATGATAGACACTTCTAATATATACACCATCTCGTTTTAACATCCTCATTCCTCGCTCGGGCCACACTGCGTGGTGAGCGTTCCAGTTACCTATTATATAGTTCAATTTGTGAACCTGGTTTAACTATTGTAGTCCATAATGCGATGTATTACATCGGCAAGCTGCTCTGAAGTATGAACTCCCTGCTTGCATTAAATGCCATAATATTTAGGTATATCAGGCGCGTACACAAAAAAAAAATTTTGGGGGAGGGTTTTGCTTGTAAATTTTCATACTTATATAATCTAACTTAACCGATAACCTAACAAAGAGTTTACACAATTTCAATTATAGTACTATTTATTTCTTATAAAAAACGTCATACTTAAAAAAAAAATTTAATAATTGTTAAAAACATGTATTTACTATTTTTATAATATAAAATCTAATTTTCGAGGTAGTCTTACAAATCTGTTAATGACTTCGTAAATATCAATGTTATCGTTTCTATAAATATTCATGAGCGCTAATCCTGTCAGCCAGTCTTGTCCAATATTATTTCTCAAATAGGTTTTCAGTCTCCGCAATGTTGAAAATGAACGCTCTGCAGTAACAGTCGTTACAGGCAAAGTAGCTAATATTGTTAAAAGGCACTTTATATTCGGATAGAAATCACTGGAAATTTGACTTCCGTCAAACTTCATTCATCGTTGCTATTGTAATAAAAATTATATCGGCTTGCATCGGGGTTTCATATGAAATCTATATTTATTTTGATGTAATCATGTAGGTAGTGGTCCGATTAATGATTGTAGATAAAGATCGATCACCAAACGAGAATGTAATTCATATTACGAATAGGCAATGCGGGAAATTAAATAAAACCAAACTAACAAATAATAAAACTTATTTCCTGAAATTTCGGGGGGGGGGGGTGAACCCCTGACCCCCCTCGTATACGCGCCTGAGGCATATTATAGGAAAAACGTAAAATGCTAAATACATGACCATTTATCCATCAATTTTAAGTAACATTTTTAATCGTATTTTAGTTCCTGAGATCAGAGCGATGAATGTGTTGATTTTACATCATTGGTTTTTTTTTGTCGTTTTTTTGTGTGTAGGTCACATTTATTATATTAGAGGGAAGAATGTTTTGTTGTTCAACTTTAATATAAAACTTCTACTATTTTCTGGTAGCAAATTAGATCTAATTGGTCGTAGAGCTGTCTCCCAATGTATATATTTTTTTTTGATAAAAAATAATCAGAATAAACAACAAAAATAAGAGAGAAAAACGGGAATTCGTTTTAGATAAAATTGAAATTATTTATTTATTGTTATTCAAAAATTAACCTAACCGTAGACTTGAAATTTTCACAAAATATTTAAAAATATTTCGACTCATTTATGCTATTTATAGATATTTGATATTTCCAATTTATGTAAGATACAATATTTTTTTTGCCAGCAAAGAAGCTTGATAAAAAATATTATAAAAAATTGATAATACAATCTTTATCTTAAGTAGTTGATATTACTGTTAGGTAATAAATATCGAAAATTTAGTCGAGTCTTAAATCTACATATTATTTTTTATAAATATCTAAATTATGTACCTACCTAACATTTTAGCATCATTCCAAAATAGATAGGTAGGTACATAACCTTTAACTATAATACCTAGATATTGGCTCAGACACAATTAGTGTTTTAATTGCAAGATGACTAAACTCTTAAGCACACATTTAACATAAATGAATTTTCCTCTAATTAAGTTTATGTATAATACTAAAATGTATCAGAACAAAAAGTATAATTTCTCTACGAAAATAATGATACCATTTTAAATTAATAATTCAATAATCTAAATTTCAATTTAAAAAAGTAAAATATTCAAATTTCTTATACAATGAACATGAATTTATTATTATTAGATGTTTTCATCAACAATTTAGCAGCATGTAAAGTTGAAATTGAGATGGACTATAATATTAATAATATTTACATAATACATCTGTAATCTAACAAATTACAGGTACATTTTAGTATAAAAAATTTAAATAATCATGTACCTATTTGACTAATAATTGCAAAGTTTTTGTTAAACATTTGTTCAGCCTGCATATTAATAATATTAATATATTATAAAATATCCCCATTTCTTTAGAGACAGAAGCAGCATTGTCAGCAGACAAATTGTCTCTGCTCAGATTTGTTTGCTACTTTTCAACATAATGCTTTATTGTTGATTTAACACATCTTTCTATTGATCTACTCAATGAGGTGTCAAAGTATACAAGATAGCTAGCTAACAGGTTTTATTTTTACGCCAACGAACAAAATATAAACAATTGTGTACTAAACACTAGTACAACTGAACAATCTCATGACAAATAATGAGCATGAGTTATTGTGTATAACTTTTTTTTGTAAGCTTTGATATAGCAAAATACCATAACATTTTAATTAACAAAATGTAACCTATAACATTGTTATGTACAATTTGATTTAAATGTAGAATATTTTAACATAGGTAAGTAATATGATGACCATTTTATATCCATACAAAATTAATACTGAAAGTATTTGTTGGACATTTTAAAGATGTCTTTATATAATATTTTTATTACAAATCCTAGATAGTAGACAATAATAAAAGTAATAAATATGTATGTTTACAAAACATATTTATATTGTGCAAAGAAACATGTTTATCATACAATAATATCATAAGACAAAGATTAAGAGGATGCCAAACTCTTAAGTGTTGTCACAAACTGGTTTCAAATTATATACTTCATAAATTTTCAAAATTCCATCAGCCTGTCCATAGCAGTAAGTACTTCATTATAATGTTTTCCTAAAACAGATTAATAATAGTTGATTATTTTTAAAATTAAAAATTTGTTTTTAGTTGAATATATAATTTGTATGGGTTTAATTAAAACAGTTGTAAAACATAATTGAATATCAAGGTACCTACATACTGACATGAGCATTTTGTTTTAATAAATGGTAACATTTAATAATAAATAATAAATATTAAGCATCTTTGAATAAATATTTCAATATGAACGATTGTTTCAATTGTTTTAACTTATCATATGGAATAATTGTTCTTAATATTTGAAAGGTAAGTAGGTTATGTACGATTATAAATTATTATTATTAATTATATATCAATTAAACTAAAGTTACCTCCAGATGGGACCTTAAAATTCCCACTTATCAAACAGTCTTTAAGTTCACATCCAGCACTAATTACAGCATCATGACATACTATGCAATTTTGAAGTACACATCTGAAATTTCCAAGATTTTTCATCATTTACAATTTTAATTATAATAATATTAATATATATATATTTTTATTGTTAGTTAAAAGGCATATTGTTTAACAATTGTAAAAAACCATAATTATTATATAATAAATTCTCTGTCTCGTCTAAGCTTGACTTGGGAGTTGGGGGTTGCAATGGGCATGCCTAACGTGCACCAAAGAAATAGGAATAAGAATGTATCTCGTCTTAAAGGCGGCAACCAGATTCTTACTTGCAACCTTATTATAGTGATAAATATAGTGTTATAGTCATAAGCTTGACCTGTACGCAGCTCAGATACATTTTTATTCCAAGCAGAGTAAACAGTCTTGTGAGCAATGAGAATCACTTAATTATTCTATAAACTGTCTTTTAGCAGACTTAGTTTGCAATTTTTTTAAGATAAACAAGGGGCAGTGTTTCAAACCAAAACTAACAAACAAATTGTCAAGAAGTGTAATCTGACAAAACTAAAATAAAATAGGTCAGACTTAAACGGGACAGAGTATATGCACATATCAGAATATTATGAAGTCATTACTCATTAATAACAAAAATTTAATTTATGTAGCAACTGTAATATAAAAGAAATGTATTTCAATCCGGGGTTAAAGGGGGGGGGGCGCAGGAGGACTCAGTCCCCTTAAACAAATTAGGATTTTATACATTAGACATTATACATAAAATTATATATAGATCGCTTTAAACTATATGGAGACAATAGTGCCCTTTGGAATTTTTTCTCACTTTAAACTCTGATTTCAATACTTGAAGTCAAGAGTAAAATGTTTAATGTAAATATCCATTTATCGTAATTTGCATATTTTAAATAATTGGAAATTAATATTGAATAAAAAGTAAAAGCTCTAAAATTATAATATAGTAAGTTCGTTGTTACAATAATAATAATAATATATGTTTATTGTAAGAATGGATTATTAATCTCAAAGATTCTAGTTATATGTTAATACTAATCACCGTATATAAAAACTACTGAACTATCAGTCACTAATGATTGTTGGCAAATATCAGATATTTTTGAGAGAATAAATTACCTCTCTTCAATGGTAACGCCATTCATTAAAATACAATCAGTTATTCTAGTTTTTGAATTGATTGTACATCTTGAACCAATAGTGCTACTTTTAATAGATGTTTTCTCCATTATTTTAGTATTAGGTCCAACAAAACAAGTCTCCTTGTCAAATTGATTTGATAAAATTTCAGCACCAGGTGAAATTTTATCTTTTTCATCCCCTAGATTTATGTTTAACTTGTGAATCTACAAAAAAACAAGAAATTAAACAATATGTTAATACAATTAGTTTTGATTATTACTTACAATTTTATTGATTCTACAATAGTCGTACAAAGTGTTTGCACGTATTCCAATATTTGAATCAATCACACAAGCATAACATTTAATCATTTCTTCAACATTTGATATATTACCAAAACAAGACATAGAACGAATATTAGTTTCAATATCAGATTCTTTTGATATGTTAAATATATCAGGTTTTTCATCTTCTTCGTCTTCAATACACTTTTCATTTGATTCAATTTTTTTACAATGTTTTGATAGTTGTTTTTTTACTACAAATGGAAGTAGCTCTCCTTTAAGTGTTGAAATATTACTAAAATAAATGAAAAGTAGTTTAAATTAATAATTATATCTACATAGGAGTAAAATAAATAAAAATAATTTAACTTACACATCTTTTACAAGATATTTAACCAGCCAATGTTTCATAATATACATATGAGAATCTAATAATTTTGAGCAAAGGGTTAGATTTGAACATTTATTTAGTAATGAACTACTGATTGGCATGGTTTCTTCATAATCCGAAGCTGAAGCCATTAATAATAATCTAGACGTTTTTGAATCATATCCAATAATATCTTTTTCTGTAACATTTAATATTAATTTTAAAATTAGAAAATAATAAAAATCCAGTAAACACAGTGTCCGATAGTACTATTTCTTATAGTAATTGATTTATTACATTTTTAACAATTTGATTTTTGAAGATCAATATTGTATTATTATTATTAATATTTTTATTTCAATTGTTTTCTAAATATTATGTTGATGTAAGTATGTAACACCAATAAAATAGTTTGTTAATACTTAATTATAATAAATAATAACATTAAGTTTAGTTTAAAGTATTTAACAATAGTGATACACATTTCCCAATATTGAAAAAATCTTATTTATACTTTCAATAAAAATTTTAAAAAAATCTCAATTTAAATGAATTTTCATCAAAATGTCATAATTTTGAAGTGTTTAAATTAAATGGTAGGTTGGCTAATTGAAGAATTATAATTAGAGAATAGTATCAAAACTTTGAAGAAATAAAAATTAATAATAATTATACAAAGATTAACAAAAGTGGTAGGTTAATGTAGATATTGTTAATCTAGTTATTGTTTAGCAACACCTACATATTGTTATGAATTATGGCTTTACCAAACTTATTTTTTGATTTAAGGCCAGGTACAGTAAAAACACACTGTTCATCCTGTGATGGTGAAAAATACAAAGACACTAAGGATGCATTATTATTTCTGTAGATATTTAAGACTTGGTGTAAATCAACATCAGTTATTAAATCACAACTAAGAACGATGACATCGGTCTGAAAAACAAACAAATAAATATTATAAAGCAAATAATTGATATAATATAATACATATATTTACTATTTTAATTATTAATAATAAATTACTTGGATATAATCAGAGATATGTCGAAGAGAATCAGCTGTACCCCAATCTTCATCAGATGGAATTGGAACAAAACTCAAATTCATTTCAAAACCAAGGTGATCTACTTCTTCTTGTATATCACTAGCATAGTTATCTGCCACTATTATTTTTGTATCTAAAACAATAATATGAAAATTCAGAAAAAAAATAATTTAAGGGAGATTATTTTATTACTGACTACCTACCTATGTGAAGATTAAGATAGATATCTTTAAATTTTATTAATTTTTCAACTTAAACTATCAAATTAGTAGGTATATTATTATTTTCCTTTAAGTCAGAAATAAACTAACATTTTCTTTTTATTTGTTAAGATTTTCAAAAAAATGTGACAATTATTATATTATTGCTCTAAAGTGTGAAAGTCAATTAACATTGCTAAAATCTTAATATCTCATTGAATATGGGTACCTAATTGACAATAAAAAGTGGTAGTTACTTGTTAAACAGGATCCTTTTTTAACTTTTACAAACAGGTAGGTTTAGTCAATGTAAACATGCAGCAGGTACCAATACGCTATAACATTATCTACTCACCTCTGAACCCGGCGTTCTCAAGCAGCTTAAGAGGATAGTATATCATTGGCTTATTGCCGACTGGCAATAGACACTTTGGTTTCGTGGCCGTCATCTCGGGTATTCGGGACCCTTTGCCGGCGGCCATGACGACCGCTTGGAATTCCAACCAATTTTGCATGGCGATTAGCTACCGTCGAAGAGAAAGTTCTATATTATTATACTGTCAAAGGTTAGTCACAGCCCATAGGCGAGTGGCTACACAAGTCACAAGCTCACGAATCGATTTAGATGAAGTTACAAAAGCTTTTATACTAATATCGAATCTCGTAAAACGCAACTGGAGTCTGACGAATAGAATTCGTCGTCTGACCGTCTCACAATCGGCCCATCACCGAGATTGTGTGTCGCCGTGATAATGGCACGTCGAGATAACCCTTATCACTCGCAATGGGGAAGACGCGACGTTCCAGCGGAAGGGAGCCGCAGCAGCTGAGCTGACGACTGGACAACTACAGTTCAACTTCAATTCCAGCCTGCCATCAGTCACTTCAGCAGCAGCCAGTGCGGCCATAGGACTGGAAAATGGATAATATACGATAGGTTTTGTGAACGGTCTAAGCAAGGCGAGGGAAGAACATAATAATTTATGTTCTAAGGTTTAGCCCCATAAATATCGTAATAATCAGGTGGTCGGCAACACTGCACACAGTTGCACCTTTCGGGAACAATGGACTTGTAGTAATGTAGTAGTGGTCTGACTAGGGAAGAGAGAAAGCCCTACCAGTTCCACCTCCGACCTCCATAGATATCCGATATCCATTATTTTTATTATTGTTTGGTATATAGAAGGTTTTTTCCCCCTGTGTACCTACCTATTGCAACTCTTCTGACCGATAACAAAGGACAGCCAAAATACGAAATGGATCTCAAGTGTTCGTGATAATCGTCTTGTGTCGTAAGGACACCGCGAGCCGACAGCCAGCGGTCCATCGCTCTCTCCGTTCGTCGACGTCGTCAATATTCGCCGCTGCCACCACTGACATGATTGTCGTCACAGGGTGATCGGGGTCAAAAACCTCTTGTTCCAAGGGTTCAAGGTTGTTATCGTTCCTGACCGAGAGAGGCTACGATGCGCTAGGCTGCATAGGCCCACTGCACAGCACACATACACACACACACACACTCATAATTTCATTCACTTACATACACACTCTCCCACGGCGCACAGTACTGTCTACACATAGGATAAGTAGCATCAGTGTGTATCCTTTGTGTTTCTGAAAACGGTGTGAGCACTACTCATCCAAACTGGCGCATCCCGTTTTGCCCAGACGTTCCGGCAACGTCCATCACGATGGTCGACCTCCACTAATTGATGATAATATGCTGGCTTTATGGCATGAGAACGACCGTTTCTCGTTTGAGGACTCTGACCGGTTTGAAGAGGATTCACTATGTACATGGAGCAGTGAACCTGAATCTGCTTGCATAAACTGGAGAGGATGGAGGAAACCGACCGAACTGAACACTGAGGACGGTTAGTACATACCATAAAATAAATACTTTTGTGTTTTATATAGGCATGCTAGTTTGTCATTTCTTTTATTAGCAGAAAGGTGAAATGTATATGGTAGAAGTATTATGTTTTTAAAGCATCAACGTTCAATATGTCTACTTACTCAAATAGATTAGGTGACTAGGTACCATAATTATATATTATCCTACAAGGTATATTTTCAAATTATATTTTTCAACTACTTTAATATTAGCCCTGATATAAGTAAGCAATTTTTGGTATATTTCAAATAATTCTTTGGTTATTTAATACGATCATAAATATAAATTTTAAGTGTAGCTATGCTAGACTAATGTTTCTAATCTTGTGATTGTAAAAACAAAATTTAACCTATACAACTTGAATAGATTGTACTCTGATTTTTCATTAAATTTACCATCTATGGAACATGAGTTGCTTTTTATTTAACTTAGATATAGGTAGGTATTCACAGGTATTCAAGTCTAATGTCAGCCAGTTTATTAATTATAATTAATTTTATTAATCATATAATTAATTAAAATAATAAAATCTAAACATTTTAGATTTAATCCTGATAAATTAGGGAGATCCAATATAATTTATATATATTTGAGATTGCCCTATTTTCATCAATATAGATAATATAGTTAATATGGGTTAGGTTAACCAGTTTCCAGAAAAAAATTCTTTAAAAATTGAAATTTAAGATTCCTAGTAAAAATTTTTTATAGATGCCTAAGTTGCTATTTTAAAGTTTATATTATTTATCTATTGAATTTTAAAGTCTTAACAAAAAAAAAAAAAATGGGTTCCATTATTTTACATGATTTTTTAAAAGAACATTCTGATACTGTATCTCCCAATTATAACATTTATTTTATGGTTGATATATTTAATAATTTAAATTATCATTATATGTGATAAATTTAAGTCACTGGTTTAAGGTATTGCAACTTAAAAGCTTTGGCTATGTGGCAGTACCTATGTAGAAAAATATTCTCCCTTAAGTTTTAAATATTGTAGGTAATGATTTATTTATTTTTATTTTCAATTTTAGAATGTATTGGTATTGGTATTTTCTAAGTTTTTGATAACAATTATCCTCACATTAATATTTAACTGTTTTTACTAGTTATAATAAAAAATAACTAAAAAGTATAAAAATGTAGTTTTTACCAATTTACAACGTTTCAAGTAATGATTAGCAAAATTTGTTGCAAACTATCCATTTGTAAGTTAACAATCATAATCATTTCATTTTCAAAATTGAATTCAAACCATACATTTTTCTAAAAAAATAGCTTGGAAAATTAGGCAATTCATAAATACCTATAATTAAATATACCATTATGTACAATGCACATGAGGAATATTAAATAATGTAGGAGGTATTTTAGAATTAGATGATTATTATTATTTTTGTAAAAGAAAAAACGTGTATTAGTTAGGTATTAGGTATATTTTTTTGTAGTACCAATGTCCTATTAATGACCTAGTTACTGTTTTCTATGGTTCTGGTCCACACACCGATAACACTTGCATTTTAAATGTGGTTTTAAAAGTTCTATAGAGAATTGACAGTTTTCCTTGTATTATCCAAATAAGTATAATTTCCTATTATTTAAAATATCTTAATACGCATGTAAAATAACTAAAACAATTTATTATTATTATTAATAATTATAAAGAAACAAAACAGTTGATTTTTCAAAATGATACTTATAATATTATTGTTTTTATTAATAAGATAAATCAAATGATGACCTAATTAATTTCATTAGGCAATTATTAAATTGCCTATTACCTAAAAATATTTGGTTTGATATTACTGCTCAAAATTACACAAAAAGTAGCTAATTTTGGTTATTTTGTTTCATAATTTATATTATAAATTTCATAATTTATTAGTTATTACCTACTTAATACATAATTTAAGTTAAAACAAACGTATAAGTAATACATTATTATGTGTGTAGTAAATATTGAGTTATAAAAATGTACTTAGGTCTAACCTGACTATGATACTGTATTTTTGGCAAGAGAACATTTTCTTCCTAAACAATTTTAGTTATAAGAGACATTTTATTTCCATGTTTAATGTATACATAAGCACATAAGCATATTGTACTCTGTTTACATTCAGAGCTTGACTATTGACAATCCAAAATCCAATATTTCTTGTCACTGAATGGAATACCTATATCTTTTCTCAAATTGTCAATCCTCATATAGTATTGTATGATACAAAAATGATACAAAAAAAAAAACCAAGTACCTAATTGTTAATAATTTTTTTTTTTGGTACATTTATAGTTATATATTCCATTAATTCTATCGTAAATATAATGTGAATAAAAATGCCCAACGCTCTAAGAGAAAATTTTCTAGATTCTGTATTCTCGCCTTATCTCATAAATGAAATATTCTAATACCTATCTAAATGATAAATGTATTATCAATGTACCATTGTAGATTATAAGCTAGGTACTATTTGTTCAATTTTTTTATTTAGAGATGTTGAATTCACATATTATTTATGAGAGATGTATATGAATTCCTGGCTTCTAACATTTTAAACATAGTTTAAGTTTTATTAATTTATTATAATACCTACTAGATGCTGTTCACTTAAAAAATTTTGGATGAAGCTTTCGAATTTAAATTAGAGTTTCTTATTTCAAATTGTATGTAATTTATATAATTATTAAAATAACAACTATTAAATGAGTGTAGCAAATTAGAATAGAAGTATACATAGGCATGAATTTTATTTTTTTAATTGCAATAGGTACCAAAGTCAATTTGATAGTTATTTCTTCTTTAAATATTATTGTAAATTTTTCCGTATTAAACAATAATAACAATAACAGCATTAATTACATTGAGAGGGAGGTTCTCCAATATAGGAATCCTCAAACTTTGAAGGAAAATGTCTTATTAACTTTTTAATCAAAGAAGACAGCTGTTCAAGACATCAGTGTCTTATTAATTAATCTCCAGGGAAGTGTATGGGAACTAAGATGTAAGTGTTTATTATAAAAATGTTTGTGAAAATTTTATCATTTCTCATATTGATTTATTATAAAATAAATCCCTTGATACTTAATAGTTAATCTACATAAATATATTTAAAACTGTCTACTTGTATTACCATTTCTCCATTTAAATATTATTCTATTAAACATAATATAGGAAATCCAAAACCCAAATAAATTTATTGCGGTAATACATGTGCATTTTTATCTATTATTAAAAAAATAAAATTATTTTTTAAATATTGAATGTATAAACGTTCTCCTACACTTATTGATTTTCCATTTTTTTAGCTCATTATTTGAATTATTTCCACAATTTTACACCATCTACTTTTTATAAGTAGTTATTAGGCAATGTTGTGTGGTGGGAGGGGGGATAAACACTCAAAACCCCTCCTAGCTATGCCACTGTGTAAGGATTTATCGAGATTTCTTTGAATGTTTTTGGATGCTATTGTGGGGTCATAATTTGTAGAAAGAATTTCTGTACATCAGCTTAAGTGGCTATTAATGTGTTTTCGGAGTTAAGAATGTCAGCTGTGAAATGGTAAGAGATCTAGTCATAAATCAGATGTATTCCTGATTCTTATTGAAAACGAAATGAGAAGGAATTACCTTGACAAACAAGAAATATGCTGTTAGAAGGTAAAATTGAATTAACAATTATTTCTAAATATTTACTATAGTGAAAAACTTTAATCCAAATTTTCAGACATGTGGAAAGTCATAGACCCAATCTAAACTAACCTAACCTTATACAGACCCATAATCCCATTGCCAGTACTCAGCAAATTATTTGACAAAACCATACTCAAAAGAATCATAGGTACCCAATTTCAAGTCCCAAAAACTTTCCCAACTACCCATTTTTGTTTTGGAGCTAATCACTCCGCAATCCATCAAATTCAACAAATTCTCGATAAAATAGCCTCCTCGTTCGAAAACAAAAATTACCACCCGGGTGCGGCATTGTATTCTTTCATGGTTCTAAAGCTTTTGGCGGTGTGAGATACACTGACCAGCTTTTTTTAAAATTTAAAGTTAAAGTTTAAATATAATTATATTTCTTCCGCCACAGCCGTATATGTTGTTTCCATCTTAAAGAACGTAAAGCATGACAACATTTTCGTTCACAATAATACACTGGACCGTAATTTCTAAAATTAGAGCGAATTATTTTTAAGTTAGTTATGATCATTTTTAAATGTACAGTTTAAGAATTTGACGTGTTTTACGTCTGCGTTCTCTTAGGATTGGATACTTAAGAAATATTATTGTATTGAAAGAGCTGGTTAGTGTATTATACACCGTCAAAAGATTTAGAAACGTGTAAAAATACACCGCCGCCCGAGTGATAATTTTTGTTTTCGAACTGGGAGGCTATTTCATTGAACATTAATTGAACTTGATGGATTGAAGAGTGATTTGCTATATAACAAAATTGGGTATTTGGAAAGCTTTTGGGACTTGAGATTCGGCATGATTCTTTTGAGCCTGATTCCGTCAAATATTTTGGTTTTGTGTCAGTTTAAGGTTAGGTTAGTTAAAGCTGGGTTTATTACTAGTCATTTGTCTGAAAATGTAGATCAAAGTTTTTCACTATAGTAAATATTTAGAAATAATCGTATTATATTTTTATTAATGGTACATTGGTACTCACAACCTTGACGTTAAATTATTTATCAATTTTAAATTTAAAAAAAAAAAGTAAAATAATGGTTGAAATTACCAACTACTATTGAAATTTGTTTTTTAAAGGAAACCTATCAATAGGTTTCATAACAGTTAGTAATATAATAATAGTATAATAATAGTAATAACACTATTACCTAGCCACTAGTCAGTAGTTAAATACCAACACGTCCAACACTATGTGCAGTTTATTGTATATTTTATAATAATATAGTATATAGTTTAGGTACATCAATATAATCCTATGTTATCTAATAAAAAAAATCAATTTTTTATGAATACACGCCGAGGTATGAAATGTACTAACGATGAGCTAAACTTTATTCAACTTGTAGGCTCGAGTTATTCTGTGATCTAAGAAAAAAAATAAAAACCACACTGTACAAAATTGTATTTTTCTCATTGAGCAATAAACCATAAAATGTTGTATTATAATTATTATATACATTTATTTTTCATTGTTTGATTTTTATCTTTTCTGAACCATATCCTTTTGCTTGGCATCTTAAGAGGACGTTATACCCGCATGCATTGTCTCCGTCTTATAAGAGCGTAACATATCAAATTTTACGTTCAGCTGATCACATTTAACTCAGTTAGCTTAAAAATTAGAGTGAATTGACCTCTTATTAAAATTGAAGGTAAGATTATTACGGAGGGCTTCTCTTGGGATTTTTGTTATATTTTAATTTTAAAGAGAGTTATGAGTATTTTAAGTTGTACAAACAATTTACAATTTTAAAATTAAAATATAATAAAAAGCGCTCGAGAAGCCCTCCATGATAATCTTATCTTAAATTTTAATATGAGGTAAATTCATTCTAATTTTTAAGTTAACTGAGCTAAATGTGATCAACTGAACGTAAAATTTGATATGTTACGCTCTTATAAGACGGAGACAATACATGCGGGTATAACGTCCTCTTAATTAGAAATAACTGTTGCAGCCCGCTTAACAAAAATATGCAGCGGCCCAAACAAAAAATAATGCGAGTATAGCTATTATAATTTATAGCTAATAATATTATATTATAGTTGCTTAAAAATCTGTAGGCACCCATTTACTTGTATATTAATGGGTTTGCTACTACTACTAGTTACTACTACTAGTTACTACTACTATTACACTATAGTGTAATTATAAGTATTTATAAAATAGTATACTACTTTTCAAAGTACGTATTTTTATTTAAAAGTATCGGGGCAGTTATCACTTACAGCCCATTAGTTATAACTGTCCTTATGACAGGCGTCATTTTCGTACAAAAGTGTCTTCGAACGGCGTCCAGTAATATTAAATGTTTTCCAAACAATTGCAGAGGTAGAGCCGTAGAGGGGCTTGTGCTCTCCCTCACTCTTTATTTCTGTAAATAGTCACCTGGCGGCTGGCCCCGCTGTACATTGGCTATATAGAAACAGTGGTGGCGTGGTTCACAGTTAGTGGAGGGGATCAATAAATATCGTACATGATTTGGTGTGTGTGTGTTTTACTTCTTTCATTTATGTAATTATTTAATAAAAAAAAATGACAGCTGCGTCGTCACCACTGCTAAGCCTAACTGTATTCTATAACATTACGAAAATAAAATTAATTTTATTTGCTCTCTTCTTATTATTTGCATTTCCTAATGTAAATAAAAATAATGCCATAATGATGTTTTTTATGTAGGTATAAACATATTCATGATTTTAATTTTTAATTTTCAGAGTTAGGTATTGAACAATAGATATATTGTGTCTTGACGACATCGGTACGTTTAAATTATTAAAACCTTCATTTTGGATATTGTTTTAATAACTTAGAAAATAAAATATAATTTACGAGATTGGAATTACGGAAATAAAAGTATTTTTAATTGCAATATTTTACTTACTCATAACTTGCTCAAAAATTAAAATACCGCATAAACATAGATAATGTTCTTACTTTTAAGTTTGATGATAGCCAATAATAGATCAATTCACTTTTATATTGATGATTATATAAAATAAGTTCTAATGAACTCAAATTTGCAATGTTATACACTTGTAAGAGTAAGAACCCTTACAGTAAAACGGTGACAAAACAACAATAAACAGGGGTGTTTAGTGCTTACTGCAGCCTCTTTAAGTAATCAATATTATTGTTCGGTTATATCTTATATAAGTATATAATTCAAATTTTTAATATATATATAGATATCATTTCCCTTAATAGTTTATATTTTTCAACCTTCTCAGTATATTATATTCACTTTTCTATTATACTTCCATCGTAATTTTTATTATTTCTATTACATTCTTTGGCCTTAACCCCGTGTATTATTTATTATTTTTGTATAGTATTAGTTGTTTTAACTAAATCTAATTAAATAAATGATATCTATTGTTATCTAAAATTGTGATGTTTGATTGTTTTTAATTCATTTTACTACATCCTAAATTAAATGTACAGGGACATTTACTATTATTAAAATATAACCAAATCAAATAATAATTTTGTTGTCATTTACGAAATACACAATACATAATTTAATATTTAAATAAAATGCTTGTATAATTATTATATCATTGTTTCAAATATGTAACCAGTATTCGTTTCTTTAATTAGAATATTAAGAATAGAATCCCTGTTTTTTCATTCTACTACTGACGAATGATGATCATAAATTATAAATGTACTTATGTTCATTTTTCAGAGCCTAGAAATGTAGTTAAATCACTGGTTGAATTAGCTGCTCAATGTGTCGCTCTATTCATACCTTATGAACTTGTTGAACAAGAGTACCCACCTGTACCAGAAGAACTTCAGCTTCGTATTGCCTTTTGGAGTTTTCCCGATAGCGAAGACGATATTCGCTTGTATTCGTGTCTGGCCAACTCAAACTCCGACGAATTTTTACGTGGTCAGAATTTATACACATCCAACGCTGTTAAAGACTCTGTACAAATAGGATTTCATTTGAGTGCTAATGTACATCATGGTGGCCGCAGTGTGTTCAATGTGGCAATTACATTCGACCGAAAAAAAATAACAACATGTAATTGCACTTGTGAACCCATGTCATATTGGTGTTCTCATGTGGTTGCTGTCTGTTTACATAGAATATACTGTGTAAGAAACTTATCATTACTTAAAGCGAAAAAAAAATATTATGCACTTATGACAGTATAATTAGTGCATACCACCTGGTGTAGTGAATTTTCTCAATTTTTGTGTAATATTATATTTTATTTATTTTTGACATTTAGTCTGATGAAGTTTGTTTGAGAGCACCTGTTAGTGAAAGCCTTTCCCGACTAGAAAGAGATCAACTACAAAAATTTGCACAGTATCTGATTAGTGAGTTACCTCAACAGATATTACCTGCTGCACAACGATTACTGGATTCACTGTTGTCTTCACAACCAACTGCTATTAATTCTGTAAGATTTATGATAGTTGAAATATAAATGTCATACTAAATTCTAAGTTTTACCATATACTGATTATCACTGTATTTTAGACAAGTGGAGCACCAGATCCAACTGCAGGTGCATCTGTGAATGAACAAACAACTTGGTTTTTAGATGAAAAAACATTGCACAACAATATTAAAAAAAGTTTGATCAAATTTTGTGTTCCTTCACCCTTAGTTATTAGGTAATATAATACACTCTAGGTTTTTTTTTAAAACTTTTCAGAATTGATTAACTTAAGTTTTATTTCTTAGCGATGTAAACATCTTATCACAATCTGTTCCCCCTGCTACTGCAGAATGGGCAAATCTATTGCGTCCATTACGCGGTCGTGAGCCTGAAGGATTATGGAATTTACTATCAATTGTGAGAGAAATGTTTCGTAGAAATGACGAGAATGCTTTACATCTGTTGGAAGTGCTGACAGAAGAAGCTATTGCATGTGATCAAGTATGGAAATATTGACTGTTATTATTATTTGTTTTTTTTTCTAAACAATGTTTAATCATTATTTATAGATCATGGTTTGGTGGTTTAACACAAGAGTAGCATTACATAGCGGAGGAAGTGGAGGAACTAAGCATACTGGCCCAGCTGGCAATACCAACACAGCATCTCATGCTTGCGCTTTACTTTGTGATGAAATGGTAACTCTGTGGCGTTTGGCCGCTTTAAATCCAAGCATTTCACCTGATCATAAAACTTCATTAAAAATAAAATTTAAAGACTGGCAAGAAAAAATATTCACTAGAGTAAGTAATTATTTATATAATTTAACAATATTATTTTATAAATTTGTTTACTTAAAATTGTAGGTGATGAAACACAGAAATTTGTCAAACAGTAAATCACTAAATAATTTTCGCCAAGATACAGAAATTTTTGTGGGATTCAAACCTGCTTGTGAAGCTTGTGACCTAGACTGGGTAAATTATCCAATAGCTGGAATCACTTATGGGACTAATTGCTGTTGTGATGATGGTTCTTGTGTGCACATTAAACGGACAGGAACAGCTACACATTTTATGGGAGACCATATAAACTGGAATGAATGCAGTTCATCTGCAAGAGTAAGTTTAACAAAGGAAAATATCCTTAATAAATTGTATATTGATATTTTTAAAAAGCTTTTTATTTTTTAAACTGTGTTTGCAATAATAAATATTACTTATTCTGATACTTCATAATTATTTTAGGGGAATTCTTCTCAAATATGCTTAGATGAATGTTTCTTGGATTTAAAGAATAATCGACATTTGCACTTTGGAAGTAGGACACATCGATATGATTACCGTACCAGATGTAACATGATTCGCAACCATATGCCAAATAATGAGTATGCTTAATACTAATAAGTTCAATTTGTGACAAATAATAATAATAATAATAATAATAATATAGGAATAGAGCAATGACAAATGTCTACTGGGTGCATATGCCAAGAAATATATCATTACCTCCACCGGATGATGAAAACGCAAGCAATAATACCACTAGTCCTGAGGAATTCTCAACTAATGAGTCTTTAAGTGCATCAGCAAGTTGTACAAGTAATTATTTCAATTTTATGTTCTACATTTTAAATTTAAAAATACATGTTCATATTTTTGTTTAATTTTAGATTTTAATGCATCTACAAGCTCCTCGTCTAGTACCCAACCCAGTACACCTCATCAAATCAATAGTACATGTAACACATCTGAAAGCTTGAGTAGCGATGAAGGGGATCGAATAGCTGCACAAAAGTCTACTTCTTCCCAGACTATCACACCACCTGATATGGATGAATACAATTTCCTTTACTTATATAACCCAAAAGACTTGACATCAACAATATCCTCAGATTTTGTTGCTAAAACAATAAAAGATCTTGATCATCAAATGCCTTCGACATCCAAAATACCTGCTACACCTATTACTCCATTAGTAAAATTAGATGCAGAGTGGGAAACAATGTTTGCAAGAGCAGAAGGATTGTATGGTTATGGTCATACGAATGAAGCTTGTGTACTTTGTGTAAAGCTTGTTGACCAGTTTTTAAAAAATCCACCTAATTTTATTATTGAAATACCGCCATCAATGATAAAAGGAAAACGAAAAAAAGTATATACTCATTATATTAGAACTGATAACAATATTTTCTCATGTTAATAAATAAATAAATAATTATTTTATATTTTAGATTAATCCCGTCAGTCACCACTTGTCTACATTGGCATCAGAAATTCTACAAAAATGCTATTTTTTGTGCTCTGTTTTAGCAGAAAGGAAAGAATATTATTTACATGCATTTAAAATTGGTTTATATGGATTGGAGATGCCAAGACTGCCTGCTAGCACAAAGCCTTTAGAAGTGAGCTTTGTCATTAATAATAGGGCTCAAATTTGTATATTCTTGTTAAGTTTACCCACTTTTGCACCTAACGATCTTACCTCTCGTAAAATACCAGATTCTCTATGATTGATTGGCAGCTACCACTGTAGATACAGATTACAAAAACTTAATAATCAAACATAAAAAATATTATATCATCTGATGTTCAGGGGCCATATAGTACCATATGGTTTCATAGCGTTCGACACTAGAACTCTTAGTTAAGTACCATGACTGGTGTACACTTGCCAAGTGCACCAATAATTAAGTTGGCTAACTGTTCTAATGACTGATATATTTGTCAAGTATATTCATTAGTTCATTGACCGTTCTATGACTTGTAACATATTACCGATAAGGTGATAATCATCGGGAAAGTTACCAGTAACCAATTGTACAAGTATATTGTAATTAGAGATGGAGGATTGAACATTTTTAGTAAAAATCATAAACATCATACAGTCAAACTACCTCCAAAATATCTTTAATTCTGTATGAAACAGAATTTTTGAAGAGGATATCTGCAATATTTGTTTTTTCTCAGACCCAAACGCGACATACAGAAAACCTTTTCACTTAAAATTGTTTTTTAAAATGTTTTATTAATTTAAGCAGCCCCTATACAATCAATATTATTGGTATCAATAAAAAACCATTTTTGTTAGTCAGGTGTGCACTGTATGAGTTGAGTAAGCATAAGATAATATGATTGATGAAAGTGTGATTAAAATACTTTCAGAATTCTTGTTGAGCATATTTGAGCATACTCCAACAGTTTACAATATTGAGGTCAATATATTTATCATATAATGTACATTTAATAAAAATTTATAAATAAACATTTCTGTAACTCGTTTATTAACATAATTTTTGGTCCATAAACAAATTGGATTTAAAAACGTATCGTAATTTTTGATCCATATTAATCTGAGCTTTACTCATCGCATTATTTACTCTATGATAAAATGTGTATTAAAATTAAATAGCATGTATATTGTATAAGCATACTCCACATAATATATTATGTAAAATAAACAAAAAAAAAAACTGAAGTAAAAATTATTTTTTAGGTTAAAATGGCTCATCAAGAAGGAGAAATATTAAATCATTTAAAACGCATGTTGCCATTAGGTAAAGAACAAGTGAGCATTCTCCAAAATAGGGCAAAACTTTTACGTGAAGGTCAATAAAAAACACGTGGTGAATCGTTATTGCCATTAAATTTGGCCTCATTAATTTTCGAGTGTTTGGCGATGTGTCAGTCACCTACGCAAGATAAAATCGGTGATGAGACTTTAGGTTTTGAAGCATCTGTAGCCGCTTTAGGTATGAAAGCGAACATAAGTGAAGCGGATCATCCATTGCTCTGTGAAGGAATTCGAAGACAAAGGTTAAGATTTTGCTAGTATTTTTAATTATTCTTATAATGTATTGTTGTGACTAAATTATATCAATTATTTTAGGGGTGATTTGGCAACAAATATATTAATCCGTTATAAGAATAATCCTACTCGTTTGGCTTTGGCTATGGACAAACTATTGGATAGAGAAGTTCATCCATTTTTACAGTCAGCAATGGACTCTTGTTGGTATCAAATAAGAGATCCTAGGAATTTACCATTAATAGCCATGAAGAATGTTGCAAACAGCAATATTCATAATCAACGTAAGTATAGATTTATGACAATCAATAGTGTCACATTCGTTTATTAAAATTTTTGTTTGTTTGAATGTTTAGCACTACAATGTCACAATCCAAATGTAACCAGTGTTCCTGGAGAGTTGGACGCAAACATAGCTGTTATGACGTTAAATCCCATACCGCCTCAATCGTCTAGTAGTTGTAATGTAGGATTATCCTCTCATAGGAAAGATAATAACAGGTATTATTTCATTAATTTTAAATTTTATGATGGATTAATACTTTTGTTAAGGTTTCTAATATTAATTTTTAATAACTATCTTTAGATATAAAAGTAGCAAACGTTTATATCCCAGTCAACCAAACCAAGCTTCCGAAGCAAATGCTCACTACTTATTTGAATTGGGTAAAACGATTCTGAGCAAAGTAGGTGGGCCGATACAAACTACAGTATTTTCACAACCTCCATTACCTACTCAACCACATCGTGCACTACACATGTGTGCATTCCAATTGGCCTTGTATTCTTTGGGTCTTCTCAACCGTGTTACGCCCAACTGGCGAAGTCGCAACTATTCATCTCAAGTTACATGGATTGCTGATCACGCAATGGAAGTAGGTGCACCAGCCACACTGTTCCTACTAGGTACATGGGATGGTCATTTGACACCAACCGAAATAGCAAATATTGCTGATAGAATGTCCAGGAGTCATGAACGTAATACTGTCGAGGCAGCAGCACAATTGGCATTGTCATGTTTAAAACATTCAGTTGCTCTCAATCCAAACGAAATAACAAGAGCTATAATACAGGTAACACATAATTTTATAATTACTAAGAGTTTCAGATTTTTAATAAATCTATATGGGTTTTTGTCATGTCTAGTGTAAAGAACAGTCTGATCACATGATGGAAATTGCTTGTCTCACTGTAGAAATGGCAGCCAAAGGTGGAGGAGTTTTTCCTGAAGTTTTATTTAGTGTAGCAAAACACTGGTTTGACTTATATATGAGGGTATGTGTTCTTGGTTTACTTGTGTAAAAGTATTTTAACTTAGGTGCTTTTTATTTTTATGCAGAATTCCAATCCAGACGAGGACAATTACATGCTACAAGTTGATCCCAGAGAAGAATTCAAATGCCCTTATGTTTATCAAGCCAACTATTCAATGTCAGTTGACACTTCCCAACAACCACCTCCTCCTCTATATGCGCATCAATTGATGGTGCCACCTCAGACATCTCCAGCTCATGTGTACCAACTATCATACTTTCCTAACCAATCAATTCCTCAAAATTCACCACCACTCAATACTCAACAGCCCAAATTAATGTATTATCCATATCCATCTGTGTCTACATCAAACCAATACGCACAACAGTACTATTCTCCATACATACATCAAGTAATAAAAATTTTTTTTATTATTTATATGTGAACTTAATGAATAAATAAATGTATTTTTAAACTCTAAAAACTATTGATAGTTTAACTTCTGTTTAAATTCAATGATAAACTGTTTCTATTTAAGACTCCTGTGCAGTATCAAAATGCAAATCCTCAAAGGCAACCACAGCAAGGACCACCGCAATATTTTGTTCAGCCTACTAATCAAATCAGAACCCCACAGCAACAAGCAGAAGTATACATTTTGTTAAATTTAAAACAAAAGCACAACACAATCTTAAAATTTGCTATAATTCAATTTATTCATGTAGGCAAATATTATGTCCAACCTTCCACCACCAAATTTCAGACAAATTCATCATTTGACATCAGCGTACCGTGTTGGGCTTTTAGCTTTAGACACGTTGGCTAGACGTGTCCACGAACCTAATCAGGCAAAATACTCTAGAAACCCACCATTCAGAGAAGACATACAATGGTTATTGCGTTTGTCAAAGAAACTAGGTACATGTTTTAAATCAATTAAAAACAATACACACCAAAAAAAGCTTGGTGGTCGACTTATATATTATTTTTACAATACACATATATTTCAATATTTGTTGTATACAATTTATATAATTTTTATTTTTTCTTATTTCTTAGGACCTAATTACACTCAACAGTTTTGTTTGGCTGTCACTAACAGTGTAGTGAATCCTTTCACACTACACGATGTTGCAATGGAGGCTGTTATGTATATGGCACATTTTAATCCCAGTCCTACCATCTGCTCCACATTGAGTCCCTTAGTGGAAAAGTGTCATTCAATGTATGTGTTATTACATTATTATGTATAAATAATATGCTGTTTCGAATTGATCGGTCTATAACTTGACTATTTGTACACAGGTATATTCAACTGTTACATCAAAAGTTATATCAATTGTCAGCAGCAGACTACGAAGAGTATGTCGGAATACTCTATTCTGCTTATGGTGCATTCGCTATGACACCTGAAGGCGGTACCATGTTCAAAGACTGGTTGCAGTCTGTTAGAAGGTGAGCAATATTTAAATTGATTTAGTATTTAAACAGTATTTTTCATTAAATTAATGATTATTTATTTGTATTTTAGATCTAAATCGTGTAAAAAAGAACTATGGACCATGATAACAAATATGCTACCCACTACATGACATTGGTGTTCTGAAGTAGTTGTATTCTCCGAGGGCCGCGTTTCGCCCTAAACAACGATAACATATAGCGATTTTAGATTTTTATTTTTCTTATTTTAATTTTTAAACAATTATTCTCAGTTAAAACAAAATGAAAACTCCAATGATTTTCCATACTCGTACTGTGTTGACCTAAACCTATGAAATAACAAATTTTTCAAATGTGTTAGTTAATTTTTTAATTTTTTAATTTTTTTTTTTTGTTCACCTAGCTAATTTTTTGTGAATTATATCTATATTATCATTAATATTGCGTTTACTCACATTTGACTTTTTCTTACTTTTTTCTTTCATTTTTAATTATTATTATTATTATTATTACTATGTTGATTTTTATTTCTTATTTTTGATTTAATTGTGCGCGCATTAAGTCCGTTACACTGTATAAGCATAAGCTGAATATTATAATAAGACTGTTTTTTTATGTACTCAACACGTTCAAGTATTACTAACATCATAGATTTAGCTTATGTTTAAGGCTTAAATTAAATTTAAAAAAAAAAAACTACAAAGACTTACTTAGGTAATTTAATTTGCAAAGAAAAGTTTTTGTTTGCCTTTCATTCCTCCCCTATTCAGGACTACTTACATAAACAATATTTAAGATCTCTAGGCTATTTACACGATTGATGGCAACACAAACGTAGCAAATTGTGTAATATATTTTCCGTGTTGCCATCACCGTAGTTAATTTTGTCAAAAAAAAAAAAAAACATTCACTCTATTCAATTGATTTTTTTATTACTAGTGCATTATATTAAAATAAATAGTTATTATATTATTTTAGTATATATATATAAATATATATATTTTTTTTTGCGTTTAAAGTTTTGTCAATTTATCATAAACATAAATAGGTATTGTGTGCAACTCTAAATGAAAATGCTGGAATTAAGTATTTTAGATAAAAAATATGAACAATTATGTTTTAATACATGCTTTGGTTTTACAAAATTTGTATTTTTGTGCTTATTTTTAGGATAAAAATATTAATGAATTTAGGTTACATGATTTTATTAATCAAATCTAGGGCCATGATTTATTGTATTAGTTATAAAAAGTAAAGCTATGGTTTTTGCTCTCAATATTTATTAGTTATTACTAATATTTTATTGTTTTAATTACGCTTTCGATTACTTGATTTTGTAACTTCTTTTAATTGAATTGTATTTAGAATATAAGCAACATCCGATCGCTCACTCACCTGTGCTCACCTTAGTACTTAACTACAAAATTTATAAAATAATGAATTATAGAGGGTATTAAGAATAAAGTATATTATATTTCTTCAAAATTAAATTATAATCCCATCATGCAGTGTAATTGAATTAAAAAATATTATAAAAAAAAAGTTGAAAAAACATATATTTATATATATATATACATTATACTAAACTTCCCATAATATTTTTAAGAATTAATTGTAAACGATATATTATATATTATATAAAATCATTAGTTATTGAATGTTTTATTTTGTAAGATCAATTTTAATTTTATTCAATTTTTTCTTTTTTTTTATTTGTGATTTGTGGAATTATATCAACCTCATAATATTACATTATGTGTGTTAATCATATATTTTTGATTCATATGCATTTATATATATATATATATATATAATATATATATAATATAATTAACAAAAATAAATTTATATAATAGCCTTTCATTATAATATAGGCATGAGTAATAATTTCAGTATTATTTATTTTATACCTTATTGGTTACTTCTCGCATTTATTAATGTTTTGTACATGTATTACTGACCCTTTCTAGCATATATCCGTAAAGTTATAATTAGTTAGGTATACCTACTATATGATATTTTCATTTCTTGAAGATTGTAATTATACATTTATAATGATACTTGACAAAATTAGGTTCATGATATGATTATGATATATTGTTTTAGTGATTGTTCAAACAGTGAAAGCTATTTTATGTATATATATATTTAGTTATAGTAAATATGCATCATATGAGTTTAATCTACATCAGTGTTTCTTAAACTATGTAAGAGATCACTTCAAGGTTCCGCAAAACTTAAGTGCTTTTCTCAAAATTTTTCAATATTTTTCCCATCTTAAAAATGGATTGAACAGTCATAAGTCTAAAAAGTGGATTATTAGGTGCTTATTAAGTTTAGAATATGATTCTAATATGCTCTAAAAAAACCTTAAAATATTCTCTTAATAATCTTCTAACTGGCAAAATATGCTTTTTTTTTACATCAAATAATTTAAAAATGTACCATGTAAATATGTAATGATGTGCTTAAACTTGAAATTGATTATTGCTACCTTTTCTTTGGCAAATTATTTAAATTCAGTCGCACTTACAACAATTAAACAATTAAAAATAATTTCAATTTAATTACAAACATATTATGGAACAATTTCTTTCATTTTTAAATTGAAAACATTTTTTTCGCCTGACAAACTATTTTAACTCAAGAAATGAACAAATATGACTTATGGACAAATAATACAATATATTCTTAAATACGAAATACAGCCTGAATATTCTTTAATCTTTAAAACATGCTGTAAGATACAATATAAATTTTTTCTACAAATTCTGTAGATACCTACTGATAAATTTTCCAGTTTATTTATCCCTGTTGAGCTAAACAGTTTGGCATAAACTGTAAAGCCAAAAAAATACAAGTAAAAACCTAAAAAAACTGCTCTCAAGACTCATAATAACCTATATACCTTCAGTTATGTCTGAGGGGGGGGGCATGCCCAACGCTATTTTAATTAATATTAACAATTGTTTTATCACTTGTAAAAATAAAAAATAGTATGTGCCGTGTATAAATAAAGACACTACAATATTATTTAATACAAACAAATTACAATAAAAATACTTCACATTTAAGTATACATTTAATTGATTATTTCATATGTAGATCTAAAACTAGACTTAATGAACCTAAAGATATATATGTGTTTAATACTTTAATATGAATTAGTTGTACATTTATAATTTATTATGAATATGTATAAAATAATTATAAAGTTTCTTGTTGTATTTGTTACGCAGGTATCTAAATGTGTCTAACCTATGTGTTTTTACAGTTACATAAATATTACTTAATTTTTTTACTTTTTAGATATTTAGATCAATATTCATAAAGGTAGGTAGTAGGTACAATAGTTAAAACTAATAATATAAAATAAAAAAATAATCTAAATTAATCAAAAGATAATAATATTAACATGCATGTTCTACGGTTTCACTTATGGCCGGGCCACACATAGCGATCGAGCCGCAGCAGATGAACCGCGACAAGTTATCTGTGTCATTATTATCTAATGTTTAGACGTTTAGTTACCATTGTAATGTATAAAGTATTTCAACTTATTGAATACGTATTAAGTACCTTGGTATTCAGTTGATATGATGTGAAGTAGACTACCTTAATGCTAGGTATTGAACTATTAAATCACTAAGTAGTGTAGAAAGGGTTACAGTGAGTGTTAATTTATCCATTTTTTACAAACATCGATGGTTCATGGACCCATTTTTAGACCGACATTTTTCTTCTTGGGATTGTTTTTATTTTTTCCGTGTGTTTTATTTGAAAATTAGGCAATGTTGTCCCTTTTTCAATAGTAATGACTTCTTCATCTTGTTTCTTGTGTAAATTGTGTATAATGTAGGGTGCTGTGCTGGGGAATATTCCTGCTAGGAGTCTTAAACAACAACCAGAAGTTTGGTAAAATATGGTTGTATTAATGCTGATTTTTATTAATTTTGATATTGCTCTCCAGATATAAAATATGCCTAAGAGTCCTGAAATGCAGGTTCCGAATATAGTGAACCATCCCCACATTCTGTCTTCAATTGTTTTTGATATGGTAATTTCATCAATCAAGCTTTTTAAACGTAATCCTTGGTCTACGTATGAATGTCCCATGGATTGTCGGGCAATATTTTTCTGGACCGTCTGAATTTCTTGTGGTAGTAGTTGATATTTTTGTAATGCTGCCATAGTGTCTCGAGAGTAAATTCCTTCCTTTCTTAAATACTCAAGATTTATGTGGTTCCAGGTCCATGATGTAAAAGGTTTTAATGTTTGTGGTTTTACAATTTCTCTAAGAGTTGGTGCAATTGTATACCAATCTGAATGAAAACGGAATGCTACTGGGAGGTATTCATTGCAATCAATTTGTGTGCCATATTTTTGTAGGATATATGTTTTTGGAGCCATGAAGTAGGTTTTATTATTAAGTGTTACTGGGAATTCATTATAACATGCAGTTTGTTCTGCATATTGTACATCGACTGGTTTGCATTTTATTAAATAAATTATTTCGCCTGATTTTATTGCTATGTTTCCTGGACCTTGTCCCATAGCATATGCAAATTCGTCTAGACTGTATGTGGCTAATGATAATTTAAACAATAATTGTGTTCTTTCTATCTCACATTGCGTCCTTATTAATTCATTGTATAATGAAGTTATTGTGTTTTCTAAGGAGTTTTTTATGTAGACAAATTTTGTGTTAACATATGATAATTTGAGATCCATGTTTTGAGATAAAATATTTTTGGTGAAGAAATAATGCATAAATGTACTGTCTTCTAATATGAATAATTGTGGGTGCTCTGTTTGTATGACCGGTACTTTGCACACGAGTGTTCTTTTTATTGGTTTTAGAGTGAAAACTATGTTTTCAGATTGAATTAAGAAAGTATGTGTTTGTAACGCATTTTCTAGTGTCTGTTCTGAAATCATTAATGTGGCAGTACCATCATACAATACATCGAAATTCTGAGTGTCACAATTTTGATATATAATACTATTATCCCAGATTATTTCACCTCTGTATGGATCTATTCCATACATTTCTGATAGTTTCATTTTAGTTCCTGTCGGTAAAATTAATAAGTCATCTTTGCTAATAATGTTTGCAACGCCTTCACTTAATAGTATTTTATAGTTAGCTTGAACTACAACATTATTCCACGATCCTTTATCAGTAGAATATGATGTTCCTCGACAGTTCCCATTTTTGTCGATATTACCAGCTATGGTGTGTGTAGTCCACGTGGTTTCATTGGCTTTTAATTCTATTATAATGCCACCTGTAGGGAAATTAAATATTGAAGATCTGTGGAGTTCTGTGCAACCTGAGTTTCCCAACAATAATAACTCTGAGAAATATTCGTCTTTTACTACTTGGGCATCATCAGACGTTGCACATTTAGTGATTAAATAGTCTACTGAAATAAGACATGATTTGAAGGATATTGTGCTAGTGTCAGGCTTTTGGATTAGTTTGATTCTTGGGACTTCCGTGCTTGTTGCCGGTGGTGGAGTCTTACAGTGGTCAACTTCTAAGCTGTTGAACGATGCTACATTTATTCCTTTTTCATTGCAGTCATAGGCTATGAATCCGTACACTGGCATCAATCCTAGTATAATGCACATGGCAATTGATTGTTGAGTCATCATGAGTGTGTATAACCTGTAATATTTTACAATTTGGTATAACTAATTTCTAATATTTTTATTTTTAATCATTATTTAAATTTAAAAAAAAGTCTCATTAGGTATATTACACTGTACAAAGATTAATAATTATATTCTTGGAAGTATTTACATATTTGTCATGTCTAAGATTGTAATAAGATTTGACTTAAATAGTTTGTCAAATAATATACAATATTTTCCAAAAATTCTTATTAGTCTTCTTATTTAGTATTTTTTTTTTATTATTATTAACATATTATCTTTCATGTGTTGTACTCTTTGTTTATTATCACCTTATGTAGGGATACTATTATTATTTTTATATAATTTTATTTATTGTTATTTTATATTATATTTTTACAAAGCTTTTTATTTTAAAATTCAAAGATTTATTTTTAATTACTTGTATTTTCTTTGTATTTTATAACTTTTATTATTTTTGATATACACTTTAAAGTTTTCAGAGAAAAGTTCATTAAATCAATGTTTTTTAAAGTTTTATTTAAGTTTAATTGGGCTTCATCAAAATTGTTGTCAGATCATCTATATAAATGATTTTAGATTTGTATAGTAATGCAAAAAATGATTAATTTAATAACCTTTGGAATATGTTACTGCTATTTTTAAATCCTTGATAGATAGCTTTGCAATAAAAAAAATAGAGAGTGTCATTAACCCATGAACTGAAGTAACTTATTTTTAATTGTGTTTGGAGTTCATCTCTTTGTTGAGGAGATACTCTATGAGGAGCGTGCAATTATTTTGGATCTTTATAATTTTGTTTCATTCTTATTTCACATGGTTTTATATTAGATGCGTCTGAAGCAAATAAATGAATAAATTCTTTTAATAATTTCATAACTCGTCTGTATTGTGGCGGATTTAATTCATGGGATATGTTTATAGGGGTGCCCTATCTATCGTTTATGATTTCTGTCTTAATTGTTTTGTCATAACTCATAATCATGGTCTACATTAATTGTTGTGTGCATTTTATGATTTCTTTAAATTCGTTATTGATAATTATAGGTATCTTAATGACTTAATACTTTGATATTATATTATACTAGCTGATCCCGTACACTTTGTTGCCCGTTAAAAATGCCAACTCTATATGAGACTCGATGGTGATAATGCGAGCAGTCTATTGTGCCTACCTGCTGTGTATTTTTGAAATAATATGTTTTATATTTATTTTGATTGCGGACAGACCGATGAGCGACTTGTGCAACTCAGCCACCTTGGCAGTTAGTAGGCAATGTGCGAAAATTCAATTGTATGCGTGCTTATACCTGATCTGCACGATGAATCACTGCAACCTGCAGGCAACCAATAAACAAAAAAAAATAACCATTTATAGTTTATACTAAATATATTTATATTTCTTCTATGACCAATAGCAACCGTATATAAACAAATATTTTCTTCGTAAATCTTAAAATCTTTGTTTGAGCAACTCCCAGGGTCGGACCTATCGGGTCCAATTGTGAATCTAAACCATCCAGGATTGTGTCTTGTTAGATTAGTAAAATAAAATAAACTAAAATTGCACTCGGGCTGATTTTCTGGTAACGCCAACAACGGAAAATGGAAAATGAAGTCGTAATAATCGAATAATCATATTTCATATAGATAAAACCTAAATTTTATCTCTGCTATCGACTATTGCGTCCTATGTAAAGAGAATATTACGGCTATAAATAAAATCGAACGGAATAAAAACGATACGAAAATTATCACTTAACAAAATTTAAACTTTACTTTATGTAGTGAAGCATAATATTAATACCAAATAATTAATTAAATACACGACATATTTCTCCATGTTGATCAATTTTTTTGGTGTTGGCCGGGGGCCCCATTTTAACGATTAATTATGGCATATGGACAATTTTATAAGCTAAAGCTTGCTGTAGCTTATTCAATTCGAAAAAACATTCCAGAACTCAAATGATAAATCATCAAAAAAAAATTTAAAAAAAAGGGTTTTTCCAAAAAATGTTTTCGTAAAAACCTTCTCCTGGCAATTATGAACAATTAAAAAAAAAAAATTGAGTCAAATCGGCCCAGCCGTTCTCAATTGATGAATTGTTATACATCTTTGGCTCAATAGTCAATTTATATATATTATATACATACATATAGATTTTTCATCTTTGTGATTATTTTTTGTAATTGTGTGATATTGTTATTGTTACAATATAATCGTGTGGTTTCATGAGTGACGGCTATATAGATTTAGTGCCTGGGATTCAAAGTGTGTTTTCGTTCGTATTAGGCATACAGAATAATCTTAGGTCTTGTATTATTTTTATCACGGTATGTAACAGCAGTATTTGAATTATCGTCAAAAATACAATTGTCATGATTATAATAGCAATTACGTAGGCCAACTTATTGTCGGACCACCAGTGGCCTGGAAGGTTAGATAACTGTAACAGTTCTAAGTTCTAACAATTATTGACATAATATGTTTGTTCTTTGATAATATAGAAGTTATTTTGTCCTGTTTATTTTGTATAATATATATGTATTTGTCGTTACATTATTTATAATTTATTTATTTAATTTAATATCGGTAAAGATTACTAGGCCTCACTGAGCTTAAACTATTCTACATAGAGATTAATTATAGTGACCACAGTTCCCATCTCCAAGGACATTCTCGCGATTTATATAGTTGCTTAAAATTTAATTTATCTCTTTATTTTCGTTTACATTTTTGTTTGTATTATAATTGTTATAAGTTGAATTTAATTTATTGATGGCACCGGTGTTATTATTGATGTTTTTTGTTAATGCTAAGGTTGAGCATAATTTTGTTTTATTATTAAAATTATCGTTGATGTTGTAAGATTTTTAATTATTTTATCAAAATAGTAATGATCATGTATTAAATCAATAACCTTTTCATGTTCTTTTATTTTCTAATAATTTACCATATTATTTATTGTTTTGTGACAAATAAGTGATTCTATATTAGAATTTTGGAATTCATAAAAAATGTATTACTTTTTCATAGATCAATTTCGTTTGTTTAATTCAGCTGGTATAGTGGGGATCTGTTTGGATCATTCGCAAGGCTCTATTTCGAAAGCATGCCTCTGTGGTGTGCAGTAAGTGGGCAAATTTCACATTTTTGTCTTTTATTGTTAGCATAATTTTGATTTAATAAAAGTGTTTAGTCTAATTGTCTCATTAGATATGAAGGTCTCGAAAAATTGGTTTTGTTTATGTTTGGATTTTTATTGTCTAACAAGTTTTCTATTTTTTAAATTAATTTTTAATGATTTTAACTAGAGATTTTTAGTTGTCCATTGAATTTTTCTGTAGTTTTATTTATTTGGTCGTTCACAATTGATTTTTTTATATCCATTTATGTTAGTCGTTTCTACTGTTACCATGCATAAATTCGATTAAATCATATTTTCCTAAATTGTCTTTTAGCTGTTTGAGAGTGTTCATACTCCATACCCTAACGCCCGTGTATCTAATAGTATTTGGTTTTGAGTCCTTTATGATTGATGCATTATTTAAGTTTCAGGCCTGAGGGATTTATCGTCTTACATAAGGATTCTACTTTGTTGACGTAACTTATTGTTTTTTCATAGTCTAATTGTTTAAGTTTTTGTAATATTAATTTTAAAATAATATCTAGCCAAGCTGTGGTTTTAAATTTGTTTTCTATCATGTTTTCAAATCAGCCCATTTGTGTCATTTGTTAAATTCGACTCATTATTGTCAAGGAAAGTTAAATTTAATCTTCTAAATATAGAGGTAAAACGTAAAAACTTTATTTTATTTTCGTCAGACCGCCCTTTTATGCTAGCTTCTCTATTATATTTTATGTATCTGTGTTTCAGAAATTTAACTGGAAAATGTTTCAGGTTTATAGAATGGTTTTTTCTGTTTGCATTAAAGATATTGATAAAATCGTAGACTGAGGATCTCCGTTAAGATATTGTGTTAACCTATTTTTTAATACAATTCGGGAACTGTGTCCGTGCCGATTAAGTTTCGTTTGGTAAGTTCAGTTAATAACTGAGGTTTTAGTAATTTCTTGACGTCTCTTGAAATTAGTATGTATGTTTAGGTGAGTCTATAGTTTTGTTCCTCTTTAGTATTTTGCTGTTTGGTGGGATGATAAGATTTTTATATTTTTTAATTATTCTTTATTTGTTTGTGTTTATTTTTTTGCATGTTCTGCACCACAAGTTTAGATGTCTCTTGTAATTAAAAAAAGTGCGTGCGCAATGTATATTATATATTAATGTATTTATTTCTTTTTACTCGTAAGTCATTCATTATTTATGTTTATATTACTAACACACTCTACGTTACTACCTTCTTATACGTATTATATAAACGCGTGTAAGTACATATATTTACATGAGGATTTAATTTTATAATAAATTAACTCACCCTAAATTGTAGTGTAGACTTGTCATGCATTCGATGAACGAAAAAAGAAGGTATATGTTTTGTATTTATTTGCTTATAGTTTAATATTAATTAAAAACACACTTAATACATTGGAAACACTTTAAAGAATACATTTATTATTTAAAGACATGATATATTATGCAAATAATACAAATTATTATATCATGTTGCTCATGACGTATGACTGCGACCGTGGGCAAACGAAGGGAGAATGCTGTGGTTAGGACCAGCGCGAAGGTAGGTGGGTGTCGTCCGAGCCGATAAAACGGATAACTTGGATAAAGACATAACAAAGCATACAAAGCCACAGATGTCTATGAAGTGTAAACATCTGTGAGACACCATGTACACTAACACAATGATATATAATTTATAGTAAGAGATATGATGATGAGACTTTTGTTAACCGTTTTCTTTAAATAATAGCCATCAATACAATATAGGTAAATGGTAACACGTTATACCTATACAAGCTCCATATTATATTATTACTCGAACTCACAAACATGTTATAACATTTGAGCATATCTATAACTTATAAGTAATCTCTCAAAGGTCCTACGCTTGTGCTCTTTTCTTTCCCTTATAGGTATTACTAAGTATCCTTATTATACAACTAAAATTGACTTATGATTGTAATTACTAATTATAGCCCCCCGTCCAAGCTTTAATATATTATGTTATGTTGCAAATTACCTAAGTAGTGTAATAATAAATAATTAATAATATAATATATAGATATTATTGCCTACTTATTACGTCTATAGTACAATTTTTGTGTTTTTTTTTCAAAATTAATAGTCCTATAGTATCCTATACTGTAATGATATGCTCACACATTATTATAACAATTCTTAAAAATGTAACAGATAAATAAATAACGATCAGACTGTCGTACGTAGAAATCGGAAATCTCCAGACTCCAATAAATTATTGTCACAGACAAAAATAGTCTACTTTTATTATACGATCACCGATTAAGAAATCGACACTTACTTATGTTTGTAACGGTAAAGCGTAAGGCGTGTGGCTTTCTTACATGCCGCCAGAGAAAGGATAAAAAAGGGTCCATGTCGTAAAACAGAAATCTACTTATCCCTCTTTGGTCGGTACAACCGGGTCATCCCTTATAGCCAGTGCAATGCGCACCACCAAACACAGTAACAACCTCTCTGTATACCGAATCCTACGAAAGACAACTGGACTCCTTATGACGATCAATAATCAATGCGTTTTATTACTTGGATTCGAGTATTTTGAGTAATTAATTTGTGTCACCTAAAATTTCTACAGCACAACCCAGACACAGCTGCGAGTCAGGCAAGACATATAATATAAAATATACTATTATTGGCTGCATTATATTACATTATATATTTATATGCACATACCTATACATTTATACTGTACAGTGTATTTGATCAAATTTTCGAATACACGACCTCGAGATCCCTCCGAACACCTGGAGGAAGGCGAGAGCCGTCCTTAGGGGGGGGGAGGGGCGAGCAGGGCCCAGGTCCTGAGCCTCACGCTTTTTGCTTAAATTTGGGGTTTGAATAAAAGTAGAAATTTTTTTTTTAAATTGTTTTATTTTCATAGTATTTAAATTTTATGTTTTATATAATTAGTAAATATCAAAAATTATATAAAAATAACGAAGTTGAAATATCAACAATACAGTATTAACGTAATAATTACCTGGGAGGTTATAATAGCGTAATATTGCAATACTGGCACCGGGTATTATTCTCCAGCACTTATTGCGGAATCATACAGATACTTTAGGTTAGTATCAGATTTTATTATTTTAATATTAATCTAGGCAGGAGATTTATTTTTGTTTATTCTATTTTTGCGTTATTACAATAATTTTTATTATGTACCTACGCTTATACCAAACTATCCAAAGATCTTACATCCATTAATGATCATAATAAATATTACATTAAGAGAATGCTACTCGGGGTCAACTCGGATATTTTTTGTCTCCGTCTTACAAGTGCGTAACATATAGCAAGTTTAGGCACAGTAGATCACGTATAGCTTCGTTAGTTTAAAAATTAGAGTGAATTGACCCATTATGAAACTTGATGGCAAGAACATTATATTTCTACAATAGTTCAGTTTTCAGGTGAATTGCGAACATTTTTATTGTAAGCTATAATATATACGCAAAACTTGATGAAAATTGAACTATCCTAAAAAAGCCCACATACAAACACAGATTTAGTTCTTACTATCAGTTTCGTTGTAGGTAGATTCATTCTAACTACATTCTATTTTTAACTGTTAAACTAACTAAGCTAAACGTCATTTGTTGAGCGTACATTTGTTATGTTACCTAAGCACTCGAAAGACGGAGACAACAAATGCCCGTGTGGCGTCCTCTTAATAATAATAACAGGTAGGTAATAATAATAATAAGCAAAGAGTAAGGATTTTTTACTCCCACTCAATGTACAACATTTAGTCGGATAGCTTACACAATAATATATTTACCTATACCTATCTATATAGGTAAGACTGCAGAGAAGGTCACGTGTAATGACTAATGGAAGTGGGAACTGCGATTTTAAATTAGTCCATGATATTGTATATATAAATATGAATTCAGAATTTCTGATTATGATAATATGTTATGATTGTGACCACCTACCAAAACAACAAATCTTGATGTTCGCTGTTCAGTATTATACCTACCTACTATTTCAGTGTTCCTCAAACGTCGGCCATGTATACTCTTCCGGAAATCAGACGATAATAATATTATTATAGTAGATACTAAAATATTAGTTGCAATAAGGTATATTAGTTTCGTGCGTATAATGAAGAGTCTTACAAGTTTACAATGTATATTTTTGCTGTTTATTGTAGTATGTATTGTACGTTTGGGATGGTGTGCACCGCAAAATAAAGGTGAGCTTATCGTTTTATTTAATATTTCATTTTGTAAATTATTTTACAAAAATCTCGATGACATTCCATCGTCTCGTAATTTAAACATTTTGTTATCGTTCTTGCTACAAAACTTTAACCTTAAACTTACCTTCATGTTTTATTTGTAATGACCAATATAATAATATGATAATGATAATGATATAATAATATGATAATGCCGCTGTATAGGTATCTAACTAACTAAAAAATTATTATATTCACGTTCCTTAGCTGATAGCCGAGTACATGCAGATCATCATTACTTCTCAACCTGATCAACAGCGTTATTAAATATTCATTACCCTGCTTTGTTAGCGTAATTCATTTTTAAAGCTCTCCAACGCCATATTTATAAATAAGAAAACAATTTTAATATAAATGGTATTGTTGGGATATTTAATAAAACTAAAATAACATAACCAATTTTAACGTCAAAATGTTTTCACATGCTATATATTTGTCATCCTTGACTTATAGTAACCAGCACGCATATTTTAATCCGATTTGGACGGTAACCTTTCTGACCGTTACCGCAGTGGGTATTTTTTACTTTACAGCCCGCCGATATAGAGATACAGAGATACAGAGATATAAGTACTAGTAGGTACAGTTCACTGGACGGAAAGAGATAATTTTCGAACTCTACAATTGGAAAATTAAACTTTCAGTGCAGGTGTCATAAAAATAATTAAAATACCACTGCATATCTAATCAACTCAAACAATACACGCTGACAAAATAGAAAAGGCTGCTACATTTTAGGGGGTGCTAAAACTATATAGATAATATAAATTTCAAAATAAATAATAATAACATTTTTTTTTAACTTCAACATTATTACCTATTTAATGGTTTATATTATACTAACAAAGTAAATAATTATCTTATTATTAAAATAAAATATGTTATAAGTTATCATCTGCAATTCAACAAGTACGAATAACATATTTTAATTAACTACATACAGGTGATAAGAATATAATGTATTATTTTAAACATATTTTCCTTGTCTTTGTGATATCTTATACTTATTCAACACTTGATTATGTTTTTACGTTATTCATTGCAACATTCCCACTTAATATTTAAAATGGACAAGTCATTAAACCATTGCTGTAACGCACTTGCCCTCAACCAATTTTTAATTCGTTGCATATTTGAAAATCTATGTTCCCATGTTACAGAACTTATTGGAATTGTAACTGCAATTTGAAATAATTCGTTTATGTTAGGACTTAGGAAAGACTCCTTTTTGAATTTTTTTTTTAATAAAAATGTCGAAAAAAATATTCTTACATAAAATAATAAAAGAAGCTCTTTTCTCGGATTATTTTTGGTATGTTATAACAGTGGTCATGGAGTATTGAATAAGAGCTTGAGAGTCCTTTGACGCTGCCCTAACCTCAAGGGCCCCAAGCACACTCCTAGTAGCGCCTATGTCTCAAGCACAAAATACTTCCATTCCCTTTATGGTTCTTTTCCATCCTGCAGTGGTGTAATTATAGTGGGGGAGGGGGTAGAAAGTATTATTGAATATTGCAATATTATTGGTGCATGCACCATTTTATTAATAAAATCTTATGTACCTACTCAATATTTGTTATCAATAATTATATAATACTTACAATTTGTTTCTAAATCATAAAATACTTTTTAATCGGCCAAAGCTAATTGTCAAATACCAACGTATTCTGGGGTATGTCAATTTTGACCCACCTAGCCCATCGGTATTAATAGTTATAAGGTCATGTGTCAGGAAAATTGTAAATCATTAATTATAATAATAATAAATAATAATTTATATGAAATAAAATTAGTATTAATATTGAATTAATCGATAAACTTATTGTCCTGTATACTACGGTTCTTGTGCAGCCTATAAAGTATATAGAAAAAATAACAGAAAGTTGTTAAGACCCTTTTATTTTGGTGTTGTACTATACTAAAGTATAATCCCATGCATCTATGTAACAACGTTTTAAAATTTTAACTACAAACTGTGAAGTAGTTTCTATTATTTTTACGTGATGAAAGGTAAAGACTGAAGACATAGGCATGAATATCAAATAAATGTATTTAATTATATAACTTAAAACTATAAAACGAATATCTAAAAAGAACATTACAACTCTCTCTCATAGGTACATATAGTATTATAATAGGCTATAAATACATTGGTTCATCCGAAAACACCCAGAATACGGTTGAAATGAATTAGTGGGTTAGGTATTTTTTTATGCAATAATAATAATTATGTGATAAACATTTTCGGTACAACGAAACAAGCCGTGTACCTATAATATTATTATATCTTCTTTTTTACCAAGCTGCTACCGCTGAATCTTAAGTCCGCATTCTTGGCAAATGAATTGTTGTGTCGATGTGTCCAACGCATCTATAACTATCGACGTGTTTAGATTTCGGAACGATCTCAGATCTTTAGTGGCCGATTTTTTGAACGGTATTGATTCCGCTTCTCCGAGGTCGTCGCAGTATCGTTGACGATTATGGGATTTCGTGTTCAGTAAAAAATCCAACGCATCCGCCAACCAGTCTATAATATCGGAGGACCAATAAGATAAACGTTAGTCATCGTTAATAGATTTAACTTGAAACCTACAAAGGTAGGCGAATTAACCAATTATTTTTTAACATCATTATACAATTACCTACATTCATATAGAGTTAAATAAAGGGTGACTGGGTTGAGGGCTTATCCCTCCCCCCCCCAAAAAAAATTATGGCATCACTACATAATACATGGGAGTATATTATTATTATTAGGTATGAAAAATGTTTAATCTCTGTTTTAAAATCTGCGAAATTCATATAATCTCAGTTGTGTCATCACTCACCATACACATTGGTCATTACAACAGATATTTCAATACCTATATAAATAATAGTTTTATACATCTATGTTACCACCCATATTTCAAATACTATTTGAGCCTATGAACAGGTATAAAATGCAATGTACCTATATAAAAAAAGATAAATTCAACGTTATGTTAAAATAATAATAAAAGTAAAAAATAATTGAATGACTGAAATTGAACTCTTAACCAAAAGAAAAAGATAGTGGAGGCCTTAGCCTCCTAAAATTAAACCAAATCTCCACTCATGACACACTTACCCTGAAAACAAATCCATCAAAAAGTACTCAACTACTGAACTACCTACTTATTTATGAGTACATCAAATTAATCTAATAACGAGGAACTTATCTATTGATTATCTCTAATTATTTAAAATATATCCAGCCTCGAAAACATAACGAATTATAATCGTAATTGGTTTTTATAGTTATTATTTCCGATTTCCATATCACCCACTTCACCCTGAAAGTACGATGCAGTGCCGAAATTACCGTAAATCATAAATTGTTGGTCTCGTTCATTTTGTGTCTCCTTTTCGATGATTCTACGTTTCAGCCATGCGAATTTTTCGATTTGATTCTTTTCGTGGTGACGCTGCTGGCGCATTAACATCGTGTCCTCTTGGAAGTGTTTCATATCCAGTGGTTTCATCCGAAACATGGAATAGACTCGTCGGACCACCATTTCGGTATGTTTACTCGTAGCGAAACACAATCGATCAAAACTTCCTGGCAAATTGTTTTTATAAATAACTAAATGATTTTTTTTTCTGATCGTCCAAAAAAAAAAAACTAGGTACAAGTAATATTATTTCCAAAAATAAAAGTTTACACTTATATAGTGTGTAAAATATAACAGATAAAGCTACACGTTAATTGTTTCCAATAGATCGATAGATCAGAAGCTCGAGGTATTTATAGAGAGGGATGGAACATAGTCCTGTACAGTGTGTTATTATAAATTATTGGGTATTTAGGTAGGTACCGTTGTGTGGTGCCTATAGCCACAGATAGGATTTATCGTTTAAATAGAGAAGGTGTGGTGATGAGCCGTGATTTGATTTGCTTGTCGCAATCCTTTCTGAAATAATAATGTAACATACTAACATATTATATACACAGGTTGTACAAGGCGAAGACTTGGTAAATAAGAATATAAGACGACTTTGGTTCTAGGTTTCTAATCAATATTTTTTAGTTGTTTTATATATAATTTATAGATTATATATCTACACACTATAATGTAACCATCCGTTGTGCTTATTGTGCATTTCTGTTACAGATTTTACTAGTTAATAAATGTTAAATATATATATATATCTACACGTACCCATAGGTAATATATAACATTTGTTATTTTTAATACTGAAAATAAAAAAAAGTGAAAATAGCCGATTTGTATATCTGGGTTTTAGAAAAATGTTAATTGTAGAAACATTTATGAACGCATATCTACGGTTTATTTTTTCGTGATATTTTTAAATGTCTACTATTTTTGAAGATCTATTAATATGAAAAGTAGGAACTTAAAAAAATATTAGATTTTAATGAGTACATATTCAAAAATTCTCTTAAAATATGTGAAAAAAGTTTATTTTTTGAGTTTGCAGATATGTTTTTTACGATTAAATAAACATTACTTTACAAAAAACAAAAATGGGAATTATAAATAGATGACTAAAAAAAATTACAATTAATTTTTTTCTAAAACCCAGATTCACAAAGAGCCATTTTGAATTTAAAATTTAAAATTTTTTATTTTCAGTATTAAAAAAAGAAAAAAATGTTATATCATATACACATGTATCACAAGAGTGAATAAATTATATTCATACAATTAAATTAAAAACTATTGATTAGAACAAAAGTTATATTTCATTTGTGAGGTCTTCCAGTTACATTCGATGTATTGTACTAGTCGCATAACGGTAATTTAGGAATTTATTTTATTTTACCTATAGTACAAGCTCAGTCTTCAGGATATCTATAAATACTTGAAAATTCATACAAATAAATGAAGCAAATGATAAGTAAGAAACCATAATTACGTTTGTAGACGTAGAAAGCATAGGTAATATTATGAACACAGGAGACAGGACATCCTTATACCTCGTTATATACACGGTATATTGTGAGCGAAGAGTCTACTAATTACCTTAATGGTTATTTGAGGTTATAGATACTGGTTATAAGATAAAGACAACTTATAATATCATTTCGATGTCATCCAATTTTCCGAATAAAATAATTATATTCAATATGGTTTTTTTCTCACTATTTAAATAACTATATAAATAGTACCTTTGCATAAAATATGTTTGTGTTATCGTTACTTATCACAGTTTGTCAGGATACCACACTTTAATTAAGCATTTAACCACTTTGGTAACTAGTAAGCATGCTCTTCGATCACACTTGAATACCGCGGTATGTCCCATCCATATATATATATATATACGGATAATATATATTTTCTATATGATTGAAAGTCCCCTTTTCCTACATGGCCACCATCCGGAACCCTTCACTGCACGGTTTAGTGTGGCTTAGGCTTACTCCTTTTATTCCTGTACTATTACATTGAGCTACAGATTACCGGTAATCATGGTGGAAGAGATCAAGAAAACATTCGTCCAGAATACGATAGTTTTACCGATTTCGTAGTAAAACAACAATAGTTCAAAACAGCTATCATTATCATCAAATGGTTTTTCGGAATGTGCAGCCATCATTGTGGTTAATGATGAATCAGTTAATTATTAGCAGCAAATAATTAAACGAATAAAATTATATGAAGTTCGTTTTTTACATGAGTAAATAATCACGGGTGAAATACGGTAAAACAATAGGTACCTAAATAATACAAACAAGCGTTACCTTGAGAACAGTTTATGTCGTATACGGTATTAAGGTACGCATGTTTATTTTTAATTTTTTTAAACAATATATAATATAATATCATATTAATTATTGAAAAAATGTTTTTCGTTTTCATCGGTACAGCTGTATAAGTGATATAACTGCAGACAATACTAGAAAATTATGAAAAAATGTTTTGCCACTACAATTTCGCTCATACGACTCCTTGATTTGTATTGCTTATTGTCTTCTTGCAGGTAATAAGACCAGTAAAATTGTTTTTCCGTCAGATGATCAAACCAAAGACACGGAAACGTATTCGGCCGCTGAAAGTATGTGTTTACATTATATATTTGTAGCTATAATTTGTTATATACGATGTAGCTGTTATAAAAATATAAAAAATAATATTAATTGTTATTTGTTTTAATTTCAAATAAGAGTGCAGCGAGTATTCGCAGTTGATTTACAATTACATAAAGGATCCAGTATTATTGTCGGGTCACGACCATGTTATCAAAGTGAAAGATTGTCACGATGTCTTAACCTTAATCGTTAACGGTACGAGGACTCATCCAAAAGAATTTCCGCACATGGTAATGTTATAATAGTAACAATTACATGAAACACATAGATTTTAATAGCCATGATGTGTTAATACTTTAATCGATTTGTAATTTATTTGATAATTGTATAGGCTTTGTTGGGTTATAACAAGAACCCCAAAAGTAACGCATGGGCCTGCGGTGGATCTCTGATCAGCAATAGATGGATCCTGTCCGCAGCACACTGTGAAAAACTAGACGAAAAGTTAGTATCATATAATATACAATATTAATTTCACAGTCTTTTGAAAGACTATTGACACCGTAACTGAAAACATTTATTATTTGAGTTCCATGACTATCAAAATAATATGTAGAATTTTATATTCTTCAGTACAGATAAATACATAGTAATATCTTTGAATATCATTTTAAGCCATCTACTTACCATTTTTTAGCAATTTAAAAACACATGTAAAATACGCACTATCACGCGAAAAAGAGTAAAATAATCAAAAAACATTACTGTAGACTCCTGGTATTGTAAAACAGATTTCTACATTACTAAGCCATATTTTGAATGGATATTAGAAAACATGCAATCTCCTAAAAGTCCTAGTAATTACTAATTATGAATAATAAGTTACAATTAATTTAATTGTTCATATAATATTCGTTATTTAATATCAATCTTCAGTTAGTAATGTATACAATTCAAAATATTTATCATTCCACTTACAAAATAAAAAATTGTTTCTTATGAGGGCGGTATGATATACGATTCGACGATTTGTCTCAGTTGTACCATATTATCCTAAGCTAAGAAAACTTTACAATGGAGTATAAAAAGAAAATTAAAATACATTGATTATTAGAACAAAAGTTATTTTATTCGTCCGGTCTTTCTTGTGTTACACCCTACATGGCCGTATGAGCTACAAAAACGATTTATTTTGATGAATTATTTCTGTTGTGAAAACATTAATATTATGTATTAGTATTTATTATTGAAGAACGTTCGTGCGCTGGGCACGCCTGGGAGAACTCAACTATCTGATGGACACCGACGATGCAAGACCAATGGACTACCAAATCGACCATCGAGTAGTGCACCCGAATTATCAACCTCCGTCATTGTACAACGATATAGCGTTGTTCCATCTGGACCGAGACGTGAAGTTTTCGGCTTACATACGGCCCATTTGTCTTAACGCAGATTCCAACTGGCAGTCGAGTACTTTGCAGACGGTGGTAGCGACTGGTTGGGGACAGATATACTTCAGTTCGTTTATTTTCCTTGGCTTAAAACGATTATCGTCCAGGGCCGTACTTAATAATTAGGACCGTAGGAGTGAAGGGGGGGGGGGGGGACACGGGTGCTAAAATTATTTGACAAATGTTTTTACAGTTATAAATTATAAAATGTTGAAAATAAAAACGTTTTTTTAAATGAAATTGAAAAAAAATGTTAAGGACTACGCTTGAGCGCCAACGTTCAAAACGAAGTAGGTACCCATAGTATCTATTATAGATACTTAACAATAGGGACGTCTTAAAATGCATAGTATATTTTAAACTCTGGGTCACTATAAAACTATTAACTCGGTCTTGAGTCTTGGTACATTTTCAGAATGATGTCACGTAAGCATGATTACAAGTAACTCGTTTTACAGATGGACCAGCTAGTCCGGATCTGTTAAAAGTGACTTTGAACATGATCCCTATAAACCAGTGCAAAAGCAATTACGCGTCGATAGGGGGAACTCAGTTGGCGAACGGAATACTCGAAGAAAGTATGATGTGTGCGGGCTATGCGAATGGCGAAAAAGACACTTGTGGGGCAAGTTACATATTATCGTGTTTCGTGTTAGTCATTTTAAGAGGACTATGCTGCACTCGTACACACGCATAACGTACAAGAGTCATGTAATTCTGAATCATTCTACACGTTAGCCATATTTAATATTGGAATACATCTGCCCACATTAAGTAAACGAAAACGTTATAGCCATCGCACGATCTACTGACTGCAGTGTCGATGTCTTTCGATATTTTAATTTTAAAGCAAACGATAATTCTTTTTAAATATTTTGTAGTTGTAATTTTTTTGTTTTAATTGCCGACAAATATGTGCCACACCCACGCATATGGGACATCATTGATTATTGTGACACTTAAAATACGAACTACGTTATACGTGTGTATAGTGCATATAGTCGCATACACATATAAATAAATGGACTGCACCTCCCACACACCCCGTCTATGTCTCCATGAAATCACCATCGTCAGTGAGAGATGCATTAATATTGTATATGATAAAGATAGAGTAAGAAAATCATAAAGGTGACATACACACTGTAGCGGTTGCGGTTTACTTGGCAGTAAAACGAGTACAATATTATCAAGGTACACGATTTACCGCCACAACCGCAGTGTATAACCTTTAAAGAAAACATGAGGTATCGTGGAATAATAATCAACAATTGGAGATGGAGATCTAACTTAAATCATGAATTCATATTGAATGGTTGCCCAACGAGCTATGTCACAGGAAACGAATCCAGATACCACTATTAGCTCTTAATGGACTATTTTATTTTAAGTGTCATATTTGCATCTTATTGAAGTATATTATATACTAATCATAAAATATTATGAGTAAATAACAAAATAAACAATAATTATTAATTACTATTGAATTAAATAACATTTTAACAAATTGTATGTTACCACCGGAACGCTGTCGACTAAAAGATCACTAAGTGGATCACTTATAGATCGTTGGGCAACCATACTATCCTAAATCGCGCTTAAAACTAACAGCTTAATGTTTTCATCAGTGATAAGGAAGTAAGTTTTTATGAAAACTATGCGTATTTCCATGAAAAATAATGTGTTCTTCTATAATAAATCTTTTTATGCTTTATCTCCTTCTAACAATTTTGGAATAATAGATTTAGTACCTCTCTTTCTACTAGCAGTCCATTTTTTTATAGGTCTATGGAGTCCTCTGTGGTAGTATTCACGGTCATCCGTCTTAACACTGCTTCCTCGATTTTGTCACACAGGGCGATTCTGGTGGTCCACTACAAATAGCGCACGGCAATTACTCGTGCATGTATACACAAGTAGGCATCACATCGTTTGGTAAGCTGTGTGCCAAGAAGAATTCACCTGGCGTTTACACGAAAGTATCCAAGTTCTTGCCGTGGATCGAACAAATCGTTTGGCCCAAAAAGTCAGCCTGAAATGAACATAAATAGATTAAGAGGATGCCGCATGTGTTGTCTCCGTCTTATAATATTAAATAATTAAATATTAATAATATATTAAATGCAATGTATTCTGCAAAATTAATTTAACCTACAGTATTACTGTGGTATTACTCAAGGGCGCTTGCAGAAATATATACCAGGGTGCAAAGTCAAAAGTCTCTGACAATACACCACATTTAAAGTATTTTTTAACAACAAATATTAACTAAAAAAAACGTGGAGTCCATGACCCTCCCACAATCTCCCGCGACGACCTTGGTATTACTGATAGTGAAATAAATTACTATACCTAGTGACAATATTACTAATAATAATATAAGTATATAATAGAATATTATACTAAGGTTGTATATTTATAAGGCTGTCTACCAACTTCGCCCCATAACCGTTTTTTTGTATGCAATCATTTATCATTGAATTTGAATTTAACATTTACATTATAGTGACCTACCTGCTTAACGAGATGACACTTGACACCTACTGTACAGCAGAACTCTTCCCTACTTTCCCCTTTTAAAAAAATTTATTTGGTGCCTATGTTGTGTAATGATATGCTCACATATAACAATTCTTTAAAATGTAACAGATAAATAAATAACTGCCAGACTGTCGCACGTAGAAATCGAAAATCTCCAGACTCCAATAAATAATTGTCACAAACAAAAATAATCTGCTCATATTATACGATCACGGATTAAGAATCGACACGTCCTTATGTTTGTAATGGTAAAGCTTTCTTATATGCCGCCAGAGAAAAGGCATGGTAAAAAAAGGTCCTTGACGCAGAAGGGAAATCGGATGCACAAAATAACCCTTTGATGAAGCTTCCTGCACTCTTTGGTCAGCATAACCGGGTCGTTCCTTCGCCAGTTCATTCGCACCACGTACCGAATCCCACAAGCGACAACTGGACTCCTTATGACGAGCGATAATGAGTGTGTTTTATTATTTTGATTCTAGTATTTTAAGTAGTTAATTTGTGTCATCTAAAACTTCTACAGCATAACCTAGAGTCAGATAAGAAATGTAATATAAAATATATAATTCACACACGTATTCCCCCCTCCCCTACAGTCCCAAACCTTACAGTACCACACAACCTACAGATAATGGCCTCAGTTGCCGAAGCTTAAATCAAAAAAAAAAATATATATATATATAGGTATTATTATTGACCACATTTTATTACATTTTATGTACATACCTATACATTTATATTGTACAGTGTATTTGATCAAATTCTCGAATACACAACCTCGAGAGCCTATGAACACCTGGAAGAAGGTAATAACGTAATTGCAATACTTGCATCTGGTATTGTTCTCCAGCACTTATAAGTGTAGATAATCATACAGATTCTTAAAGTTAATGTCAGATTTTAATATTATTGCAGGCAACTGGGAGCCGTATTTTTGTTTATTCTATTTTTGCGCCATTACAGTTGGAATACTGATAATAATGTATTAACGTAAGTTCGGGAGTAAAAATGACAGTTATATAATATTATATTTTACCTCTCATACCAACCTTCCATAAGGTCTTGTAAGTTATAGTATATCTATAAATTATTATAATACATAATTAATAACTATACAAGTTTAAAAGATTCATATAAAAGAGTAATGAGTTACTTATACCCCCACTCAATACAACATTTAATCGGATTTCTTACAGAATGTGTTTTTACATACCTACTTATATCGTATAAAATGTTATTATATACAGAGAAGGTCACGTGTAATAGGAGTGGGATTAGTGGTTTTAAATTAGGTAGTCTTTAATTTTGTATATAAATGTGAATTCTGAATATGTTTATATTTTATACTTGTGACGTCACACTAATACAACAAATATTGGTATTCATTGTTCAGTAACTTATTTGCAGTGTTTCATAAACGTTAACCTAACGTCGACCCTATATTCTTCAACAAGTTATACGATAACAGCTATAATAGTAAATATTAAAATATTAACTCTAATATAGTATCGTACGAAATGAAGAGTCTTACAAGCTTACACTGTATATTTATGACGTTTCTTGTAATATGTATTGTGAGTTTGGGATGCTGTGCTCCGCAAAATAAAGGTAAGCTTATTATAATATTTAAATATTACGTTCTGTGAATCTTTTTATGGTGACATGTAGTGTAATTTACATTTTTTGATATGGTTTAAAAAAAAAGTAAGACCTCAAATACCTATGCCTAAATGGGTTTTTTTTCAATGCAAAATAACTAATATTATAATATACTACATTGTGTGAAAAGAGTGAGCAATGTTAGACGTGGGAGACATCAAGGGCTGCAATTTGCTCAAGACTGAAATTGGATCCCCGCAAGAGCTATATGCCTATATATACTATATTTTGTCATGCATCTGTTTCATGTACAACATCCTAGGGTCTAGGAATAACCCTGCACCTGAAACTTATATAGCGAGAATCCCAAATTGTCCTAACTGTAACGTGCTATGGCTTTCTAAACTATCCGAACCTAACGGTACGTGTCAAAAATTACTTGATAAACTATGTTGTACTTATGGGTTGGATGTTGGATGTATATTGTATACAATATTATTACGATCATCAATAATTTGATTTATTCATGTAATAACACTAAATATTATTGCTTAACTATTTCGAATCTAATGCGCACGTAGAATATATAGGTATATATATAGAGAGAGGTGAGACTTGAGAAAAATGTTTTTCTGCTGCAATTTTGATCATTTTATTTGTTGGTTTCTATTATGTACTATCCTCTTACAGATGATGTGACCAATACCACTAGTAATCTACCAGATGATCAATCCAAAGGCATGGATACATATTTGGCAGCTAAAAGTAAGAGCTTATATTATGTAATTATAATTTATTAAGTCAGCTATAACTGTTCCAAAAAAAAGATTTTTACTTGTCATTAGGACCGTGGTGAGATAAACCCTGTTCCGCGGATAATACCTGGGGGGGGGGCACACTTTTGTTGACCACCTATCATGAACTTTATCAAATCTCCAGGCCCTCTTACAAATTCCGGATCCTGGTAGAATAACTCCTCTCTCACCACAGGTATGCTTGTCATTGCAGTATTATACCTAAAATATTTTAAATTTTGAAAAACAAGATTCAGCTTAACACACCGCTGAGTTCTATTGACATGTTTACGTTTGAAATGTTGAGTGTATACAATCGTCACTATAATTCGAATTATTCATAGAATAACATAGTTATCATTAATTAACTATTTAAAATCTAATACCCACAGGTAGTATAAAAAGGGGGGGGGGGTTAGGAAATTAAGAAAAATGTTTTTCCATTGCAATTACGATAATTTTACTCGTTGATTTCTATTGTTTATTGTCCGTTCACAGATGATATGACCAATAATACCACTAGTAATTCGACAGTTGATCAATCCAAAGGCATGGATACATATTTGGCAGCTAAAGGTAACATATTATGTAATTATAATTTATTATGTAACTGTTCCAAAAAAAAAGATTTTTACTCGTTATACAATCGTCACTATAATTTGAGTTCTTCATAAAACAACAATAATTTTTATTGATTAACTATTTTGAAACTAAGGGGTATGAGAAAAATGTTTTCCTGCCTCAATTTTGGTCATTTTAATAGTTGGTTTCATTTGTTCATTGTCCACTTACAGATGATGTGACCAATACCACTAGTAATCCACCAGTTGATCAATCCAATGTCGTAGAAACGTATTCGGCCGCTGAAAGTAAGTGGTTACATTTTGTATCTAAAATTTGTTATATAAGCCAGCTGATAAAAAAAAAATTATTTCACTAGTTGTTGCAGTAGTATAGTAATATACTGCAATTTTTTTTAAATTTTAAATAAGTGTGCATGGAATATTCGAAGTCGACTTACAAATATATAAGAGATCCATCATTATTTGGTGAAGACGAGGATGTATTTATCCGAGTTAAAGATTGTAAAAATTTCAAGACATTAATCGTTAACGGCACGAAGGCCGATGCAAAAGAATTTCCGCACATGGTAATGTAGTAATTATAATATTAAACATAACCATCATAAGAATGTATTAATAGTTTTCTAATTTGATAATTTTATTGTATAGGCTTTGTTGGGTTATAGCAGGTATCCTTCAAATGACACATGGGGCTGCGGTGGATCACTAATCAGCAAAAGATGGATCCTGTCCGCAGCGCACTGTGCATTTGCACAACTCGACAACGAAGAGTTAGTATGATATTATATACATATTATAATAATGAATTTACACTTCTTATGAACACTGAAAAACATTCATTATACCTAGTTTGATCAAAGAGTGATCCAGAGTGGCATCCTTTCTCAATAATATTGTTGATTGCATACATGACTTTTTATCAATTCAAAAACTGTAAAGAAATAACGATAATATTCGGGACACTCAACATTTAACTGCACTTTGTCATACTTTTGGGTGGCTAAGCCTCGTAACCCCTTAATTTGTGCCATTAGACCAGCGTTTCCCAAAGTGTGTTCCGCGGAACCTTAGGGTTCCGTGGGACAATGTCAAGGGTTCCGTTAGATGTATGCGATTATTGAGAAAATTATGTTTATTTAATGTTTGTTGTTCAAAAAATGTTTGATTGAAAATTTTTTTTTTAACTAAGTTTAATAATGAAAAGTCATTAACAGTATCATTAAAATATTATTTGGACTTGAGAGTTTAAGGAATTGATTTTCCTTTTTTAATTTACAAAAATTGTAGTTGAGTTGGATTAGACATTGGGGTTCCGCGAAACACAAACAATTTTTTAAGGGTGCCGTGGTCGTAAAAGTTTGGGAACCGCTGCATTAGACTATCACTTCACTCGTTACCAAGGCGGCTGAATACGCCTCCGAGTATAAGTTCCATTCCTTTTGCGCGTTGTCACTATTCTCACTACAGTCTTTCGGGATAGTATGTGTTTACAGTAATCTATCAGACCTCAGTATCTATTATGTACGCAGGTTATACAAACTACGAAAAAGAGTAATTTTGATGAATATTTGTTTTTCGTGAAATCATTAAAATACATTATTATTGCAGAACGTTGGTGCGCTGGGCACGCCTGGGAGATTTGAACTATCTGACGGATACCGACGATGCCACACCAAAGGACTACCAAATTGACCGACGCGAAGTGCACCCGAATTATAAACCACCGTCATTGTACAACGATATAGCGTTGTTCCATTTGGACCGGGACGTGAAGTTTACGGCTTACATACGGCCCATTTGTCTTAACGCAGATTCCAACTGGCAGACGAGTCCTTTGCAGACGGTGATAGCAACTGGTTGGGGACAGGTTGAATATGGTTGGTTGATTATCATTGGCTTAAAACGAATATCGTCCAGGACCGTACTTAAAATGTATGGCCGTGTGCTTGGGTAAGGATGGAAGAGGGGGAGGTGGGAGATTCCAAATGTTTTTGTACTGTCATAAATAATAATAATTATTATTATTAATTACAAATTTTTTTTTTAAATTTAATTTAAAATAAGTTAATAAAAACATTTTTGAATACTAGAACCCTCGAAAATCAACGTTCAAAATACCAACAAATACTTATTATAGTTATTACTAGCCACTAGAGCTAGGGACTTCATGCCCTTAAAAACCTTAAATATGTATGCATTTATGCCCTAAAGAATCAATAAATATACTACTAAAATATGCATTTAAAAAAAATTAAATTCTTTAAAAAATCGTTAAGCCGATCATGTTTTGGTTTATATCTTGGCATTTTTTAATTATTTTAGTATAGGTTCATTATGGTTCACTGGAAAGAAAAAACACAGCACGAAAACAAAATACGAAGAACGCACAACACCAACTGTTAATTTTTATTATTCACGGAACCATCTACAACAGACTAGTCATAGTCTATAAAATATTTATTAATTATATCATTATTGGCTTATTGCCTATCGGGAATCACGCGATGTGTACTAACAGTGTACCAATAAATAACAATACAATTATAGTGATAGGCAAGAAAAACGCAAACATTAATTTTTAAATATTTATATCTGGCGCAGGAAATCTATTTAAAATTAACTTTTTTTATAAAATTAAATAATAAATACACATAAATAATTGTTAAATATGCATTTATAAAATGAAAAATGGTCAAATATGCACTTATAAATGAAATATGGTCAAATATGCAAAGTATGCAACTATACATTTTAAATATAAACTTGTATTGCCATGAAACAAATATCTATATTACTTAGCTTTGCTTTTAAATTTTAATGATTATTTAAAAACATGCAAGCTCTTAGAAGTCCCGTGCCCTAGTTAATAATTATTAGCAATAGGGTTCGCTAAAACGAATAATATGGTCCTGACTCCATATAATTTTATTTTCAAAATATTGTCACATAAACATTATTAAAATACCTAAACCGTTTTACAGGTGGACTACCGAGTCCGGATCTGTTAAAAGTTGTTTTGGACATCATCCCGACGGACTTGTGCAAAAGCAATTATGCCTTGATCAAGAAATCTCAGTTGATGCTCGGAATACTTGAAGACAGCATGATGTGCGCTGGCTATGCGGGTGGTGAAAAAGACACTTGTGGGGTAAGTTGTATGTGTTTCTTCGTTTCTTCTTCACTCTAACGTTTTAAGAGGACCCTACACGGGCATTTGTTGCCTCAGTCTTACGAGTGCGTAATATACCAAATTTACGCTCAGCTTATCAATATCAATACCTATACAATTCTAGAATTAAAAAAATTATTGGATCCCTCCGCCAGAAAAAGTTGAAAATTTCTACGTTTTTCGTATTTAATAATAAATTAAATTTGGATATATCTCACTAAACTTAGGTATAAAGTAAATAGTAACGGATCATATCCGTATTAGGTATACCCATCACACGCTCTACCGCCAATTTTGTTAGATATATTAAATTTAAAATCAATTGATAAGTCTATTTTATTTTGTTTTTCTTTAACTCGCTTTAAAAACATTACGTTCGTCGCAGAAATTCTAATTAAGACAACGGACAATGCACATTTTAATCAATTTAATCTCGTCATTATGACTACGTGTTAGATCTATTTGCTATTTAAACAACGATAAATGTGCCGCACTCTTCTTTACATGGGAAATAATTCATTATTGTGAAACGTAAAGTACGAACTATACATTACATGTGCGTAGAGTCCTGTATTGTAGTATTCAGTGGCGAATTTTCAATATCAGGGGATGAGGGACTGTATTTTTTTAAATATAAATATTGATGTCTGGGGGGGGGGTCCTGGATCTCCTCGTAAATCCACCTATGGTATAGTACCTATTCATAGTCATCAGTTTTAATTATTTTTAATCGTGTTCGTTACACAGGGCGATTCTGGTGGTCCGCTTCAAATTTTGCACTCCGAATACCCGTGCATGTACACGCAAGTAGGCGTCACGTCGGCCGGTAAGCAGTGCGCCACGATGGATTCGCCTGGCATTTACACGAGAGTGTCCAAGTTCTTGCCGTGGATTGAACGAATCGTTTGGCCAAAGTCTGTCTGAAATCAACATATTCATATTATATAGGTCAACATCGCTTTGCATTGTACTCAAGAATAATTAATGATAATCGCCTGATATTGCAGTTATTGTAATCTTTAAGTATATAATATTCCGAGTTTTTTGTTTTAATTTGACCCCGGGCTGACTCGTTGTTTGTAAAATATTTTTCAATGTCCACGCAACTAATAAGAACACCCACACAATGAAACATTTTTATTCTTATTCTTACGTCATCACCATAAGACGTAGACTACAGTATAGTACATAATATAAGAATATACGATAAGAAAATATCTGAATGTGCGTGGCATAATATTATGTTTTGTAACAATTAAATCCCAAAAAAATGACGTCGGTCGTGTAGGTACCCGCGCCAATTGTTGTAAGTTAATAACAACTTAATCACTAAAATTATTTAATAATGTTTTCATAATGTTATTCATAGAATTATAGAAGCTTTGGCGATATAAAATGTCTTGTCTTATTATCGATACCAGAAGCTCAACCATTAGTGGCTTTAATGATAATACTGAATTTAAAAAAAATGTTTGCATACCCTACATAGCCTATAGGATATGTACCCAGGAAGCGCACACATGAGTTGTATGAAAAACCCAATTATGATCACTCCATTAGGATATTGAGTAAAATGTACTAAAACATTAGCAAATGTGACACATTTCTTGTTATCGAAAACCGGGGGAGGAACTGGTGTTGGCATTCCTCTGCCCCGGTCCCCATTGTTTATTGTGCAAAACATAATGTTTTACAGCAATATAGGAATCCTGGGATGCGCGCTTCTTCGTTACCAAGTGGACTTTCCCTATGGCTAGGTGTGTGTCCACCTGGGAGCGGAAATCGGTGGGCTAACATTAAAAACAAATCTATACGAATAACACATCTATACGACTATACTCACATGAAACATTATTGATAACATATTATTATTGTGAAACTTAAAAATATACAATATACTATGTGATAGTGTTATGTGTGTTATGCGTTTAAAGTCCTCTATGGTAATCTCAGTCATCCGTTGTAACTTTTTTTCGACTCTTCATAAATATCTATTTAACCCAACAGTAAAAACTCTTTTAATAATTTTCTAAAAGCGTATGTGCTAAAGTCTTCTCATCATCAAAAAATGTTTATTCATCATTTGATACCATGTGACCATGAAGTATGTTAGAATTTATATTATTCGATAATTGATCCACCCCAAATTTGGTTTGCAAGAACAAACGAAAAAAATTTAAAAAAAACTAAAATTGGGGCCCTGGTTTGCCTAGTTGTGACACTACTGACATCTTGTTGACATCAGCATGACGATGTACAAAAGTACAAAATAGTTAATTTATATTCAGCAGAATCGGCAGAATCTGTTTTGTGTGGTTTATTTCAATTTGATGATGAATGTTACTGTTTTACACGTCTTTCATGTGCGTGGTTATGTGCGCGCGAAAAAGATATCGTGTGAGGTTGACTCGACATCCGTCCAACAGATGGCACCACAATGACCGTTTCACGATGTCGCAATCCATAAAAACATTAAAAAGTCTGTTTCCTCTAATCGGCAAATTAAAGTGTTATTTTTATAGAAGAGGTTTCCAAACGATGTATTGTGATACAATAGTGGGTCGCGACTATAATTTTTGAATTTAAAATACTAAGTATTAGATTACAATAATATGTTATAAATTTACAACATAATATGAAACAAATGAAAACTGTCCGAAGGTAATTGATGCAATCGAAAACGGTGGGATCGATTGACTTATTTTTTTTTATGTTCGTAATATTCCAAATGAGGTTTTTACAAAAAGAAAAAATGGAAAAGTGGCTCTGAAAATTTTTAGAAATTATTATTTTTTCTATATTTAGGTAAATGTTTACTACAGGTTATTTAAATGAAGTATAATATAATTTATCGGGCATAATAATTTAATCTTATTTTTTAATTTTGATATTTGGTAACTATTTTTTCAACCCTCGTTCATTTATACGAAGACTCAAAGACTTTAGGACTTAAAAACTACTATACCCTTTATTCAATCAAAAGTTATACCAATATAGATTCGTTAAGATTTGGAGTGTGTTTATAGCTTATTTTATCAACCCCTATAGGTAGTTAAAAATAGCTCATTAGTCATTTCAACTCACTAAAAAATTATATTTTCCTGTTGATTTATGAGGTTACAATATTATAATACTATGGTCAATAATATCAGACCTACAATTATATTAAATAAATCTGCACAGAGCCAAATTCGAATTATATAATGTAAGTAATGAATGTTTTCAAAATCATTTTTAATTTGGCACCACTATATTTGTTTAGTCACCACTACCAAATTATAAAATCCTCCACTGGTGGACTTATTGTGCAGAGAGGATCTTCAATCATATAATATCTAGATGTGGCTATACATAAATAGCCTAAGTAGTCAACTGGTACGTATAACATAATATGATAATATGATAATATTGGATTAGACAATTCGCTTGAAATTACTGACATTATATAATAATACACCTACACTTAAATAAAGTACCTACCCATAGCTGTAAATACTATAATATAGAATGTATAGATAATCTGTCTATAATCGGTGTTTATGCATGGAAATGCGTACTATATCTGAATTGTAAATCATTTGTGCGCGCAGTCTCGCGTACCACTCTGTTCGACAGATCGTTGATTGCATTAATGAATCGATATATTATGCCATATATATATTATGTATATAGTAGGTATATGTATAGCCTATAGGTAACAGCTATATTATATAATGGTGTCCTTTTATTACTGAGTCGTCGAGACACTGTCAAACCTACACACAAGCGCGAGATGCATATATGCATGGGTACAACATATACATATTATGTAGGTACCATGGTATATAATATTATACACTTGCAGTAATTTCAATTTGATTTGATATTTTACAGCAAACATATTTTTTCTAAAAATTCAAAAAATGCTCGTTGACAAAGGTACCACCACGCGGTGGCTTAATTGAAGCACGACGGTGCTCTTGCACCCCCCGATGTTATGTAACATTTGTGTAACCGGTACAAAAATAGGCGTTTGCTTTTTTCACATGTTGAAGCTGAACTTTAATCATATCAAAATATAATTACTATTTCATTTGATTCGTTTAATTTTTCTTGAAGACACAACTGGACAAATAATAAAACAACGTCATGTTATAATGTAATAATTTTGCTGTCACTTATCAATTTATTATAAATAGCGATGTTATTATCACAGACTCTAGACTACATTTTAACAAAATATCATTTTTTTATTCAATATTGTGTTTGTTTGTGCGCATATACAGACATAACTGCAGTGTTTAATTGTAAATTCACAAAAGTTTTTTTGAGCGTCTAATTTTTACTACATTGCAGTAATTGGATTCACAGCAATTTTCTCATCGATCGATTTTCTTATTTTGTTGTAATTCGGAAACGAATTCCGTATAGATCGGTAGGAATAGAATTTTTTTCGTATTTGCCCGTCGACTTTTACACGACTAAAAAATGTTTGGGATAAAAAGTATCGAAACGTTTTTTAAAATATGTTGTTTTCTAACGACTATCGGACGCGCCTTGTTTTCAAAAACACTTTTACTATTGTTGAAATAACGAGTGTCGACGATCGAAGGATCATCCTGTACACAGAACAATATACGGTGGGCATATATATTCAAATACGAACAGTGCTGGGAATGGCTTTCCTCCAGTCTGCCAACAGGTTATGATATTATTTTACTGTCGTCGTGTATTTTGTGTATCGCGAGCCGAGATACTCTCGGAATACACGAAACAGGGATGACGAGGGCGGCGGACGGGACGGGCGAGGAACAGGAAGAGGAGGCGGCGGCAGCGGGACACAATGGGCCGTGACGGTACGATTGTATTGGCTGCGGCGGGGGCGGCGGCGACAACAATGCACAACGAGACGGCCTCTCGGCTATTGTCGTGCGCCGCAGACGGACGTCTCCTCGAGGCGGACCGCCGAAAACCAGAGCGCGCGCGCGCGCGCGTGAACCACCGACTGCCGACCGCCGCCGTCGGCCAATGGATTTTCGCGAACGCGTTAACCCCGCGACTCGGGAGGGGGGGGTTATTGTTATCCGCGGCTGTTGTTTTAAAACCGCCCCGCGGGGTCGTAGTCGAAATACCTCAGGCTAGCAGCCGGCATTAAAAATAATTCGAGATATGTCTAGTGTACTGTATATGTGTGCGGACCGCTATTCACATCATTATTTTTTTTTGGTTCAAAGTGTCCAGTGAAGGATTGACCGGCGGTATAGTAGTGTACCTTGAGTTATGGGAAAAACTCATCGAAGGGGGGGGGGATGATCTAACTTATGGTCAATAATATTCGACTATTTCGAACGAAACCGAACCTACCGTACATTTTTGCTGATGCTTCTTCAAAACTTTTCAACTTTTTATCGTACCTAATTTTTTTTTTTTAGGTCACCTATTCCGTTGGGCTATAAACTAACAAACACGATTAAACCATGATGAATGTACAAAATATTTTTAATAAATTTAAAAAAGTAAAAAAAATATTGAAAAAATTAACATTTTTTAAAGTAAATCGAGTATTATATTATTAAGTTCATAAAGTGTTTTTTGAAATATGGAGTATCTTATGTCAAATGGATCACCCCGTGGCACGTAATATACATTAATATGTATGACATTAATCTATGATATAATTATCTACTCACCTATAATAATATTGTAGGTATAAGGTATAGGTGGTATGTAGGTAGATATATTCGACAGAGAATATCGGTAAATAGATTCGTGCAGGGCTTAGAGAATACCTACCTACCTATTTAGAGAACCTCTATATTCCATTTTTTTTTTCAAATGATAGGTAATGATAGATATTATAATATTGCCGAGGTTACATACATTTGATAAAATCCAAACGAATAATGACGAGAGACCGCGGGGCCATTCAGAGAACGGATGGTCTAATAAGTAGTAGTCATGCGTATTGTATGCACTGCTGAAATTTGGTTTTTTAATTCCGGCATATTCGGGAGGTCATAAACCTTATAAACTCCACCATGACGAATATAGGTATTGTAGGTGTACGCGAATTAAAACAATTTGCTTGTCAGCCTGATTTGCTACATTATCAAAAATACCTAGTGTAGACATGTTAATAGTTATTTCAAGAGTATTCTTGAATAATATGTTGAATGGTTATGTCAACTATACAGTAATTTGAGGGTGCAAACATGCAGGTGTTGGATCTATGCGCTAATTAGAAATGCGTGTGGGTTGAGTATGAATGTCCAATTCTTGTTCTCGTTCAAGTGACGAGTAGGTAATATCATTATACTTATTAAATCAGTAAATTTAGGGAAATGTCGTGTTATTATTATATTTTGGCCTCAACGGGTCCTTAAAATGTATCCAAATGTGTTTTGTATTTATTCTTTTAATTGGACCAAACAGCTACTGCCCACGTATACCTATCATAGTATTCGGTATATTATGTACTTAAATTAGTGATGACTATATTATATCATATTGCATTGATCTAAGTATACCTATAAAATATATAAACAGCTTTTATGACATAGGT